ACATTGGGGATAAAACAAATGTATGTATTATAAGACTAGACAATATGGATGCGACAGAAATAGAGATACCAGTTGCATACTCAAAGATCTCAACCTTAGTAACAATAAGAAAAAGATATAAACACAGAATAAGGATGCCATTTAAAAACATTAGAAAAGCAATATAAATTATAGAATCTGCACACAAAGAACCTATAAATGATCAAAACATATGTTTAGATATGACTGACATAGAAACAGAACAAAACAGGATTAGAAAATGGTTAACAACTTACAAGTCAGTATATAAAAAATTGAGACTATAAGAGATAAATTAAAAAAATAGAACTGAAATTAAAGTATATACAGATGGCTCAATGAATAACATACTTGAAGAAGACCACATGGGCCTGTGATGGGTGATTTTAGATCGAGAATTAAATAATAATATGACATTCCAAAGTAACTTAGAGCAATTTCCATCATCAACTAGAGCAGAATTAATGGCAATACTAAAAACACTAACAGTAATGCCAAAAAGTTCCCAGGTAAATATATACACAGATAGCAAGTGTGCTATAGATAATATGAACAAAGTCAATAAAGGAAAAATAAATTATATATGGAATAATGTCAAAAATCCTATTATACTTCAAACTATAAAAGAAATTATAAATGAATTGAAACTACAAATTAAGTTACATAAGATAAAAGCACATGAAGAAAACTATTTTAATGAAATGACAGATCAACTAGCACAAGTTACATAAAAAACAATAAAAGAGAATTATGTGATCAAAATTAATTACAATAATATTGAAAATAGATCATTTATTCCAACATGGGAAGAAATACCCATTGAGCTCCCTATAAAGCAGTCCTTAAAAAAAATAAATACAATAAGACACAGACAATGTTGGAAACTGCAAAAAAGGTTTCAAGAAATCTTGGATGATGAAAAAATACAAAAAATTGACTGGATCACTACATTTAAAACATTACATCCAAGTAAGATAACACAAGCAAAGAAGATCACATTAAAAGAAGTTTTACAATGAAATTTTTTAATGGAGAACTGCCTGTAATGCTCAAAAGATTCAATTATCAACCTCACATATATAACAGTCAAAATGCATATTATGTGGAAGGTATGAGGAAACAGATATACATTCCTATAAAAACTACATATACTTAAAAAATATTTAATAAAATATATTTTGAATATATTTGAATATATTTTAAGTATATAAAAAACTAATTAAAATATTATTATTTTATAATTAAAATATATTTAAAATATACTTAATTTAGGTAATAAGTAAGTATGTTTTAGGTATTTTTTAAATATATACCTAAAACATACTTACTCATTACCTAAATTAAGTTTTTTTTAAGTATATTTTAAATATATTTTAATTATAAAATAATAATATTTTAAATAGTTTTTATATACTTAAAAAAATACTTAATAAATATATTTTAAATATCATAGTTTTTATAGGATTTTTTTCACCTTACCTTTCATATTCCTTATTTTTTATTATTTTTTTTATTTAATTTTTTTTTAACAATAAGAGTTTAAAAATCTCTTGTCTTGCCTTTCATATTCTTCTTCATTTTTTTTTTCAGCAATAAGAAACTTGAAAATAAAAATAATATGAAAGAAATAGAACCACCTGTTATCAGTTCATCACTAACAAATCTCATGCCAGAAGAAAAATAGTATTTACTATTTGATATAACTTGCTCTTTAGAAATCCTAATAAAAGATTTTAACAAAAATTGATAGTCATTAATTTCAAATATTTGAATGATATGGAGTTTATATAAACAAAAAAATGAGAATATGCATAAAGATTTTATTTGCTGTTTGATGAAATATTAAGAATCAAGTATCAAAAAAAAAGAAAATATTTCAAATGAAAAATGCTGAATAATAAAAATACTACCATTCGGGTTGTGTTGTGTCAAGATTAAAATTTTATAAATAGTTTCATTGGAAATAGTTAAAGTTGAACTTTATAAAAACTTTCCTAATCATATCTTTATCATATCAGAATCTAATAAAGTAAAATAATCTCAAGTCATACAAACCTTGATAGAAATAGAAGTTACAAAGAATTATTTATCTCTTGTAATTACTATAGCTGTTAAAGAGTATGTAACAAAATTAGATCTTGGTACAAGTGTATTTAAGCTGAGTCATAAAGAAGTAACTAATATTAAATATTAAATCTATAAACTTTTGAAAGTCCACTTCTTTTGTAATTCTGACTTAAAATCAGATATCCTAAATTCCATAGCCTTTTCAGTAGAAAAAGGTTATCACATTGAAAATTATTATATTCTTCACCAGTTCACTAAGAGTATTGTATTTACATATCCAAAATAACTTGAGAAACTTCAGCATCATGGATGGTTAACACTTATTAATTTTATCTATAAAACAAACAAATACAATTGACATCTCTTTTCTTTATATGTTTGTAATATATATGGATATTGGAATGTAGGTGCTCACTTTTATGTGAGTAATGAAGATTGTGATATCATTTCAAAAGTTTTAAAAATAATTTATAACTATTGTTATTGGTTTTCATGTTATATCCTTTCTGATTAAAGTAGCATTTAAGCTAAAGATATCAAAAAGATTTTTTCTAAAATAAGTGCTGAGGAACAGAGGACTTGAATAATAAAAATTTATGAAAAAAATCTATAATATAATAAATACAGCAATATATAAAAGAACAAAAATTGGTTACAAACAGTTAATTCAAGATGCTATCAATAACTGTTCCATTTCTGCAATTCAAAATTATATCAAGTGAAACTATACAAAAAATATACAGTAATGGACATTGTGAACATATCAGCATTCACTTCTTCTTTTATAAGTTACAACTACAAATCCATTGAAATTGTATTATAGTGAATTGAAATAATTAACATTTCTATTGCACAGTTTAATTGGTATGATTATTTATCTTTTTTTTAATTTCTGTCTTTTTTTTTCATCTTATCTTTATTTTATTTTTTTTTCACCCTTTATTTTTTTTTGTCTTTTTTATTTATTATTTTTAATTCTATTTTTTTTTTTTTATCTATTTTATTATTATTTAATCATTCCATTTCATTTTATTTTTTTTTTCATTTGTTTTGTTTATTATCTTAATTATTATCTTAACCAATTCTATTTCATTTGATTTATTTTTTTTTTCTTTATTATTATTATTATTATTTTTTGCTTTACTTTCTTTATCTTTTATTTAAATGCTATATATAATGTTATCAAAATTAATTACAAAAAATATTTCAATTCTGAAAGAGCTACCTTCAACTTTTGTACCAAGAAAATATTTACTTATGATGTAAATAGTAATATTATTGAGAAAATCCATAAGTTTCTTTTTCCACTTCAATATCTGCTTATTAAAGAGACTTGCTCTATAATGGACAAAATTGAAAAAAGTAAAGGACTATCTGGTTTGATTTCATTAAATTACTATTGTCTGTTTTGAGTTAGATATATACTTCTATGCAAGTATATTTTTCATGAGTATATATATGGATGTACCAAATTATTAACAAGCAAAACATGGAAAAGATTTCAAGAGATGTTTGAAGAATCTGGTTATGAAATATATGAAGGTCATGAATCTTCAATAGAATTTGTAAAAATACAACAACAAAAAGAGTCAAAAGACTGAAGACTAATCATGGTGAAATTAACTGAGAGAATTTGAAATAAATATTGGAAGGTTGAAGAGATAGGAGATACTAAAAAAACAGATGATTTTATATCTAAATTAGAAACTTCACTAAAGTCAATTATTTCAAACAATCAATAAAAAATAAATTAAAAAATATAATCAATGAAAAATAAATAAAAATTTATTATTTTGCTTTATTATATTTTAAATTTATTAAATTTATTTAATTTATTATTATATAAATCATTTGAATAAATTTAAATAATACATTAACTAATCTAACTTCGCTATAAATTAACCTAATTTCGCTATAAATTAATCTAACTTCGCTATAAATTAATCTAACTTCGCTATAAATTAATCTAACTTCGCTATAAATTAATCTAACTTCGCTATAATTTAATCTAACTTCGCTATAAATTAATCTAACTTTATCACTGACTATTACTGAATTATCACATAAGATCACCTGTTAATCACGTGATCTGTCTCCACCCTTTTCTAAAAAAGATTAAATTATGCAATTGTATATTTTCTTATTATAGTATCAAATTTTAAAATTATTCAGATTTAAAGATTATAGAATAAAGATATGATATTCAATTTTTTTTTATCTCAGATTCAACTTACATCTTTATATTACCGAGAGAAATTTTGTTTAAATATAAAGGAAATTCTTAAAGCATAGACCAAAGTAAAAAAGCGAGAAGGTTAGAGTAAAACAAGTTCAGATATAGAAAATATAGATTACATTTTATTTTGGTATTATTCGTCTTAAATTAATACATAAGAATTTTCACAAAGAAAGAAGTTTCTAGAATGGAGGTAATGTTACTAATTAGTTTCTCAATTGATAAATTTTTGTGATATATTCACAAACTAGTATTTTACGTTTATTTTATTTATTTAAATAAAAAATAAAGAAAATTGCTGCGGTGATTGTCACCACCGAGCAAAAGTTGGAATTATGTAATTTTACAATACCCAAAAATAAATATAATAATTAAATACAAATACACATATATTTATTCACTCTCTTCTATATATATAATAATTAGATAATTCGAGAACGATATAATATATTTAAAAAATTCATTTAATTGAAATCGGTTATTCATTATCTATTTATTATTTGATGGAAATTTTATTACAATAATAAATAATTCTTTATTTGTGATTAATGATAAATAATTGAATATCATTTAAATATCATGCATCCTCTAGAAAGTAATACAGTATGTCATAATGCATGATTTAATTTTTATAAATAAATAAAAATTTAATTCAAAATTAAAAAAAAAAAAATCGACTATGGAGGAATTTTTAGGATGGTCTAGTAATAGTAATGGTTATAATGATAATTATCCACCAACAGTTGATAGAATTATCGAAGGTGTAAGCTTACCAAATTATATTGAAGAAGCAGTCGAAATCGGTAAAATTCTTAATCATACCGTAATCGCAGTACTTACGGGTAATATTACATACTTAGTTGATGACATTGTTACCTATGCTTCTGCTGCCAAACATTGTAAAGCCGAATGTAAACGTCTTTGTGAACAATTTAAAATCGTTAGCGATAGTGCTAAAGATTTACTTAAGAAATTAGAAGAGAATCCAAAAGAAATTGAGGATAAAAGTTTTGCATTTGCATTAAAAGCATTTGCCATGGTATTAGAAGATGGGCGAGCTATAATTAAACAACATGCTGAAGCTAAATATGGGTTGAAAATTTTTCATGCAAAAAAATTCGCGGCTGAATTTCAGAAAATTGAGGATCGATTGGATAAAGCTTGTCAAAATTTAAAATTTGCTATTACTATTAGACATTATGTAGATGGTCAAGAAATAGAGGAAGAACGTAAGACATGGCATGAAGAAGATAAAATTGCTTTTGAAGAGATAACTAATTTAGTTAAAGATTCATTAAAAGAAATTCGAGGATTTAATAAATCAAAAAATACATCATCACAAGAATTATTAGGTACTAAAATTTTAGCAACCGAATTAACCAATATGCAACAATATAAAACTTATCGACTATTCTCAGCCACTTATCGTACTGTGGACGAAAATAGAAACTCAAAGGATATTAAAGTGTTAATTAAAGTTACAATGGCAAGGGAAGCTGTACAAGAAGAAAAATCAAAATTTGCATTGGAAGTCGCTTATTTACAAAAATTAGCACCATGTCCAAATATTATTGATCTTATCGGAATTACATCTTTGAGAGGAAATTTAAGTTTGGTATTGAAATATTGTGAACATGGAGATTTACAAACCTTTATTGCTAAAAATTCATTAAAAGGTGATTGGGGTAAAAAACGTAGTATCGCTTTAGATATATCACAAGGTATTTTTTTATTTTCTTTATTTTAATAAATAATATTTACATAAATAAATAAATATTTAATTATATTGGAAATTTAGGTATAGCATTCCTTCATAAAGCAGGAATATTACATAAATATATCAATAGTGCCAACATTTTATTAGACAAACACTTTCAAGCGAAAATCACCAACTTTCGTAAATCACGTTGGGTAGACATGAGAAGTATGACAGTTATTGATTCATTTGAAGAACAAATTAGATGGACTGCTCCTGAACGATTAGAAGACGAGGTAGCAAAATTTACTGAAGAATGTGATATATTTTCATTTGGAATTGTATTTTATGAAATTATTACTGAAAAATTCCCGTGGCAAGGTTTACAATTAGATCTTGTTTATAAATATCGAAAAGAAGGGAAAGAATTAACTTTACCTAATCACATACCACCTGCTATTTCAAATATCTATGCTAGTTGTACTGAGATAGCACCTAAACAACGATTCACTACCAATGAAATAATTAATCATTTAGAAGCCATTAAACCTGAAGAATTAGAAGATTCAAATCAATTTTATAATGTAACTTGTGAAGATAGTGATGGTCCCGATTTATCAGTGGATGACGTAGTTTTGGAAGGATATGATAATGAATTACTTAAGGTAACTAAAACTGTTCGTGAATTAGCACTTTCTGACACATCCGAAGATGAAAACGTACCTTCACCTCAAGAAATATTGAATAAAGCTGAAAATTATCATTATATGAGAAATTATATAAAGGCGCGTCAAGAATTTAACAAGATTGAAGATTATTTTCCACAAGCATTATTTAGGATGGGCGAATATTATTTTTTTGGGAAAGGAGTTAATGAAGATATTGGAAAGGCAATTCAATATTTTGAAAGAGCTATAGAGAAAGGTGACGGTGATGCAATGGATATGATGGGATATATGCATTTAAAGGGTAATAAGGTATTACCAAAAGATAGAATAAAGGCAGTAAAACTCTTTATACAAGCAGTAGAGAAAGGAATACCACATGGAATGTATCATTTGGGAGTTTGCTATTTCAAAGGAATTGGAGGTTTAAAGAAAGATGAAGAAACGTCAAAGAAATTGATATTGAAGGCGGCTAGTTTAGGAAACGCCGAGGCACAAAAATATGCGCATTTACATAAATGGGATTTGATAAGTGGAATGTAAATAAATATGAAATATATATTTATTTATGAACTTTTAATCAAGATAAAATATTTCAATGTATTTTTATTTATCTTCACATTTTATATTTTTATGATTTTATTTTTTCATTAAAGACTTTTAATTATATATTTCATTCATCATTCTCTTTAATTAAAATCATGTATTTAATTTATTAGTTTGAATAACTTTAGAATGATCTAAATCTAAAACACGTACTAACGACAACAATTTCCTCGAATTTCGTTGATCGACATGACATGCAACTTAACATAGAGTATATGGCGTGGAATAGAAATATATAGAAATATATCTGATATAGAATGTGTAAAGAAAAACTCAAATATTTACGATAATTAATGCCCATTCAATGCTAAATTATTGTCAAATATTTGATTACCTGCATGTAATTTATGCGTGCATTACCCAAAATTCCGTGATTAAATTTCTTCCTATATTTTCAGAAGATTCATGACATAATCATAACTAATTACAACTTAATTTAATGCAGGAAGGAATAAATGTTTCTTCGTTTAAATTGTTAAATTAAATTTGCATAAATCCGAAAAATACCGTAATTACTAATATTTAAAGAAGTAGAATGTGAGATATAATTTCGATTTATTAATTATTTCTTTGAAGATATTTAATTTATATTTTCCAAAGAGAGAGAATATCGGATGCATTCAATCTAAATTTCTTTGAAATAATAATTTTTTTCTTTATTCGTTAAAATGTTAATAAAATTGTTAAAATTAATAAAGAAACAATTAAATTATGATAATGAACTCGTAAATGCGTTGTTAATAATAATTTGTCTCGTGATATTATAATGAATGCTAATAAGTGAAGTTTATTTCGTCTCTTTATTTCCAAATAAGGCTTGTTATTAAAAAAAAAAACAAAGATTAACTTTGTTTATTATTACACGATATTATTGTAGTATCACATGTATGTATATAATATCGATATATCTTTGTTTTTAATCCCTTCTTTAACAAAAATATTCAATTTTTTAATGTAAATTTGATTTATTTTTATTTCTTTGCATAAATTAAATATCACCAAAAACCGGGAATAACTTTAAGAATAAAGCAATTAATTCCTAATGAGAAATATTGCCTTACTACTGAAATATTAGTTATATGAAATAAGTTAGGAAAAATCAGTTTAGCGTAACATATCGATAGATAAAAACGAAGAATAGCAACCATGACAACTAAAATTATATCTAAAAATAATTTTTATATTAATATTAAATATAGTGTGGTACAGTAAATAATAATGCCAAAACCTGAAACATTATTAATGAAACTTCTCCTAATGTCATAGTGTTCAAATATTCGTTCATCGTATTAAATAAAAAATTAATGGTTTTGAAAATAAAATTAACAATGTATTTTAAACACATTATAACCAGTTAATACAAGCGTGTACATATTTTGGAAAAAAAAAACTATAAAATTACTATCTCTCTTTTTTTTTTTTTGATAACAATAAATGTGTATGAGGACGCTTTAATAAAGAATATTAAAGAAAATATAAAATTTAATATTTCAATATTTTTTGATAAAATATTATACTAAAGGAATATATATATATATATATATTTAATATATATAATATATATTTAATATATATAATATATATTTTAATACGCATTTATATTTGTAAATATTCATTTTCTTCTAAAATTTTATAATAATGATGTATAATTCCCGTCGTCGCTCATCAATGATTGAAATTCATAACATTAACTCAAGTTTAAGCAATGGAAATTCATTATTAATGAAAGAAGATGATAAAACTAAATTACTGCTGGCAGCAAAAACTCCCAATATAATATCTAAACGTCGTGGATCGACAGTTTCCATCGAAGCATTACAATCAAATTCACGAAGAAATTCTATTACCACTACCACTACTACTTTCACTACTAATTCTAATAACAATATCATCACAACTACAACCACCAATATTCATACAACACAAATGTTAATACCTATGGACACTGATGATTTCATAAAATATAATTCATCTTCTAATTCAAAAAAATTTCATTATCCTCCTCTTCCTCCCCCTCCTCCTCCTCTTGCATTTTTAGAGAATGATTACAACAATACTAAAAATAAGCAAAATAAACTTAATCGTACATTTTCCCAATTCTCAAGATCTAACTATCACCATCTACCAATAAGCAATAACAAAAGTGGTAATTATGTGAAAAATAATGCTAAAGATGATTCATCCATGCATTCTAGATCTTTATCTCAACCAATTCCACATTTTTCACCACATCGTCCTTTAATTCCATCAGCGAATTATGATAATCATAATCAATATAAAAAACGAAATGAATTATCTTCAAAGAAATTAACAAATTTCTTTGGTGATAAACCTCCAATTGATATTTGTGTTAAAGAAATTGAAAAAGAAGGATTAAAAGCAATGTTACATTCTAAAATACCTTTATGTTATTTTTTATATTCTCTATTGGAAGAATATTCTTGTGAAAATTTGGTATGTTTCTCATAATTCTCATAATTATTATTATTATAATTATTTTATTATCATTGTTATAATTATTTTAAATTGCTAAAATTGTTAAAAATTGTATTTTTTTTTTAGTTCTTTTTCTTAGAGGTTGAACAATATGAATCTTGCGAGTATACTAATTCCTCATTACAAGAACAACAGAATAATATCTTTAATACTTATCTGACAAGGAATTCACAATTCGAAGTAAATGTAGATGATAAAGTTCGTAAGTCTGTAATAGCCTCTATTGAAAGTAATTACAATCCTCGACATTGTTTTGATGAAGCAAAACGAGCTATATTTGTGTTATTGGAATCTAGTTTCTCTAGATTTATTAGAAGTGATTTATCAGAAATTATGAAAAAAGAGATTGGCAAAACTACTACTCATTATCCACCCGAAGCTCGTGATTCCGCCATAACACTTCTTTTCAAATTTCTTGATCGACAAAATAATTCATCATCATCATTACCTCCATCTTCTAATTTATTTCTAAAATCTAAACCAAAGTCAACTTCTACGTCATCAAAATTATATAATTCACCACCACCATCTAATTCTACTTCACCAATCGCTTCACCCACCTCAATGATTTCACAAAAACGACATGAATTAATTCGAGCAATGATTTACGAATTTGTAAAAACTTTATTAGGAATAGATATTGATAATTATTATTATGATTTAATGAATAATCATGATAATGGCAAAGGACAAAAATCAAAGAATCACTTTCATAATAATTATAATAATCATAATAATCTTTATGGAAAATCAAATTTCAATGAAGTTAATGGAAATTTGGGAGGAATTGATGAAAATGGATTTGGAATTGGTGGAGGAATAAATAAATTAGATGGAACATATGAAAATATGTGGGACGTTTCTGGTGGATTGGGTTTAAGTGGAATTAGAGAAAAAACAATGACATTTGATGATGATAATAATAATAATAATAATATAAGTATGATTAATTCTAAATTAACAAATTTCGATATGAATAATAATAAATCATTAACGATATCAACTACTTTAAGACATAGAAAGAGTGGTAAAGAACAATTAAGGAATGCATTTAAAAAGAGCAAATCAGTAAAACTGAAAAAAAGAAATAATCAGGAATAAAAATAGATTCGTAATGAAATAGATAGATATAATGAAATAAATAGATAGATAGATAGATAGATATATATATATAATATTAAATAGAGAGAGATATATATATAATGAAATAGATATAAATATTTAATATAATTAAACTTTTTTTCATTTTATTTAATCTATATACATGTATATATTGTTAATTTTCATCTTTTTCTTATCATAATAGAATAAATAAACTATTTATGATATGAATCGCAATGTAAAGTAATAATAATAATTTTAATAATGAAACTAAAGAATGTAAGCAAATATTTACAAATAATTCGTTAAATTTGTATGAAGTTTCATTGTAAAGATGCAACAATTAATGCTTACCTTAAGCTTCATAAGTTTACAAGTTGTTTATATGTACTTTACTTTAATAATAATATTCATAAAATAATATGATCACCTTATTTTCTGAACTTCGTAAAGATCTTAATCACCTGGCCAAAACATTAAATGTGTCATATACGTATGTATAATAAGTTAAATAATATAAACAAATATTTCAAATTTTTTGTTCTTTGAGCTTCATTAGCTTCATTTGATATATTTAACCTCATTACCCAGTTGACATAAATGTCGCTACTTTATTTTGAAAGAACTTCTTGTAGTTTAGAAAACTGATAAATGCTATAGCTCCGGTAAGGTTGTCAGTAGTTCGAGCGGGAAAAGTTGATTTTTTTAAGTGGTTTCCTTTTGTGGAAAAGATAGGCATTTCCATTTTTAATTAGTTAGATCCAACCCAACGCGTATTTTGTTTAATAGAGAATTACAAAAAAAAAAAAATAATCTAAAATAATAATTAAAATAATCTTTTGTACCATATATACTAAAAAATTAAAAGATAATTTTAGAAAACTAAAATGAATTAATATATTTATTGTATTTATTTATTTGAATGAATGTAAGGCAAAATAAGATGCGATTTTTATTTAATGTTTTAATAACTTTTTATAAATATGACATGCATGCTTTCAAAATAATGGGTTCAAATTATTTAAACTGTTACTAATTTCAATAATTTCAATTCAAAAAAAAAAAAAATCTAACATATTTAACAAAAATGTAATTACAGAAATATTAATAAAAATAATTTTTGCAAGTTAAAAAGAAAATATTCTCTATAATTCAATTAAGAAAATCTAGATCGATGGTTCGCTGCTAAACTAAGAATAATATTTATAGCAACAAATCATCATGTTAATTGAAATCAAAAATAAATTGTGAAAAAAATGTCAAATTACTTACTGTTTAGAAAACAATTCAGCGATCAATTTTTTTCTTGCTGCTCTGATTTGTTCAAAATTTAATTCATTAATATTTATTTCTCTGCTATCTCCATTATTACCACAAGATCTTGATTGTATTAATCTCTCTTCGGCTAATCTTTCAAGTTCGATCATATTCTCCCGTATATCATTACATTTTTCACTTTCTTTATTTTTTCTTACTTCAATTTCTTCTATAAATTTATCGACTTTGTATTCATTTTTATCTTCATTATTTTCGCTTTCTCTATTACTCTCTTCATAATAAATTTCTGTTATTTCATAATTATCCTCTTTACTTTCTTCATTCATTTCACTTTCTCTATCAATCTCATAATTTTGCTCTTTCAACCATCTCAATATTTTATTATTATTACCTTGAATCATTTTTTCTGAAACCTTTTCATCATCTTTATTAATATTATCATCTTCAAATACATCTTCACCATTTAATTTAGTAACAGTGAATTCCATCGGTAGCATGTTAGTATTAGGGAGTTGAAATGGTTCAGCTAATCTAACGATGATAATCGAGTTAACAGTGATTTGTGTCAAAATATGAGGCAACTCATTGACGATCGTGTATTTCTAATTATTTTAATTATTTTAATTATTTTAATTATTTTAATTATTTTTAATTATTTTAATTATATTAATTTCCTTATTAATTAAGCAAATATATATATATAACTTACTAATTTTCCCATAAAATCCAACGCTCTATTATATCTTGAAAAATAAAATGCTGGAATATCCGTAAGATTTATGTAATTATCATTCTCTTGAAATAATGTAATCAGCTTCAATTTTGTTTCAGGAATTCTAATATCATCCTTTAGTCCGGCTTTTTTCGCTTGAGGTATAGTGAGCTTTTTATAACTTTTATCATTTGAATTATTTGAATTATTTGAATTATTTGAATTATTTGAATTATTTTCATCGCCACTATTAACATCTAATGTATTTATATTAGTTAAAATAATAAAATAATAAAATAATATTATGGTTCAACGGATTCAGAATTAATTTTATACACACCAAAAGTTTGATTTGCGTCACATTTTTTAATCATTTTATTTCTTTTTTTTCGATAAGGTATCGATGGCATTTTTTTTTGTTGAACTTGTTTCGGCATTTTGATAGATAATAAGAAAATTATACATTCGGTAAGAATAATAAGAAGAGAAATTATAACATCTAAATATTTTCAAAAAGCTATAAAGATTACTTAAAGTTTATTTTTTTTTTGTCGACAATTTAATACATATGTCATTACTTTTAATGTCAAAATAAGAGTCTTACTTTGCTAGAAACAATTCGTTAGATAGAATCCAATAGATAAATGGGAATAAATTGAATAAATCCCTTTTTTTTTTCCTTCGAGAAAAGTAATCCATCAGTATACTTTATTTTCTTTATCATTGTTTATGATATTGCATACGAATTACTGCAATTAATAATAAATAATAATGGAATCGTAACAATTAGAAAACATTAATTTTTCGATTTACTTATTTATTTATTAAACATTTTCGAAACAAAGACTCATAACATGACTAAAAAAAATTTTTATTAATTTATTATTACTATTTTTTTTAAAAAAAAAATTTATTAAAAGCCGCCTATTTTACACTTGGGCCTGAGCGTAAAATAGGCGAGCTTCACAACGGCCTGAATTTTTTATTCCGTAGTCGTTGCCTAAAAAATTGAAAAATTAATATGTGTAAAACAAAATTGAATTTATATATTAATAAAGTACTAACCTCTTGGAACAAAAAATTCACCCCCCTCCTTCACCACGAACGACTTTTCATCAATGGTAAAGATCACTGGTCCCTTCATCACCACGAAAACCTTAATTTGAATTATATAATGATAATTAAGTTTAAGAATTCTTGAATAATTTTAAATGATTATGTATAATAAAATTTGTGACACTTACCAATGCACTTGCATTGGAATTCTTTATGGGTTTCTCGCAACCCTTTGGAATTGCGATGAAGCCCGAGGTGAAGAAATCACCTTCCCCGAATGTTTTTGCGTGTTTATATTCATTGTTTTCGATCGGTGAAGGTTTAATCATATTAGATTCGTACACGAGTTCTAAAATGTGGATCGAAAAAAAGGAAGAATTAAATTTAATCTGCACTAAAAAAATGGTTTGAGTAAATATGAATCATGTAATTATAACTCACGCGTAGAAATCTTATCGTTCGTGCCCCAAACATTAACCTCCCCTTCATATTTCGCTTTATTATTTGTAATTGTATCATCCGACTCTTCCTTATTCCTAAGAGTGGATCTTTTTGTATTGTTTTTGCTTTCATTTCGTTTGCGCTTCTTTGGTTCTGTATCAGCATCTTCATTCGGAATTCGCACAACCTCTTTATAAACAAAAATCATCAGTATACCATTTTTTTTACAATAGGAAATTTAAAGAAAACCCAGACTTACCAGTTTTATGTGGCCTATATACAAGTCTTTCGTTTCTCCAAAATTCTAATGGTTTAACGCGTTGACGTTTGCTCCTTCGCACTAGAATCAAGTATACGGAATGTAAGAACATTCTTTATAAAATTATTAAGTTAAGACGATTACATTATAAATTGTTCACTTACACCCTCCTTCCTCATTCTCGATTACTTCATTTCGTGATACGCCACTGAGAAAAGAACGAATTGTCCGATTTTTAGATCTTTGTGATGAATGATCAATGTCATCGCGGTCTTTATCTGAATCAGAATCGGTGGTTCGATTCCGTTTTCGAGAAATATTTTTATTCTTTTTTGTATCATCATCAGAAGATTGCTCATCAATTTCATTATCAGATTCAACATGAATAGGTTCTTTGCCATTTTTATTTGATTTTCTTGCATTATTAATGCCCCGAACCGAATTGGATTTAAATCGTTGAGGATTTCGGGGTTTAGAAGTTTTTTTGACACCGCCGGATTTCTTATTTCCTTCATTATCTTGCTTGGTAGAATTGCCCGAATTTTCCCCATCTTTGGATGGTATCGTGATTGTTTCGAAGGTCATATATAAATCATCATCTACAGTGGCGACTAATTTAACCCTTTCCTTTTTCCGTTTATATCTAGATGGTTTACTAAGTTCGCTGATAATGGGCACATTCGGATCATCCCTAATAATCTCAGAACCCGCAGAATCTTCTTTATATTCATCATCTCTAATGAGTGCAGAAACAACATCCGCTCCTTGAGCCGGCTTTAAAGGACTACTTTCATGATCGTCATTTGAAAGAGTAACTTCACGATCATCTAATGTAATAATATCCTCTCCAGGAATCTTTTTTGAAGGACCGCCATTTAATTCAAAATCAGCTTGTTCTAGCTCGTCATACAAGTCATTTAGGTTGCTAACGTAATCTTCGCTATCGGTGATATGAGAAGAATGGCGAAGCTTGTTTGGTTGTGAATCTTCGTTATAAGAATAAATAATCATATTTGATTGAGTATTTTGTCATGAGTAGAAAAAAAAAATTATAGAAGGATGCATATTTGGGAATCGAAGGAGTGAATAGGTAGAAAAGGTGGAATTTTTTTGTTTAGTTCAATACCTTCGTTATCAATAGATGTGAGAGAAATATAGGGAAGTTTATTTGGCTGAGAGTCAACGGTAAGAGATGTCTTTTTATGAATACCTTCGTTATTAGTAGGTATAAGAGAAATAGAAGGTGGATTGTTAGATAGTAGAGGAAGAGTCATTTTATTTGATCGAAAAGCTTCGTCGTGAATATAAAAAAGAGGAATCATATTTTGTTGAATATTTTCGTCATGGGTAGAAAAATGATTTATCGGAGGAAGCTTGTTATTTGAGAATCGAAAATACGAGTACGTTGTAAAAGAGAAGTAGTCTTTTGAATACCTTCGTTGTTAGTAGAAATAGAAGGAAGCAAGTTAGAAAAAAGAGATGTCTTTTGAGAATTTTCGTTATGAGAAAAAGTAGCCATATTTTGTTGAGAATCTTCGTTATTGGTAGAAAAGAGAGGACTCTTATTTGGTGGAAAAACTCGAACTGGTGGCGGAAAATCTACACGAGTTGATAAAACTCAATAAAAATAGACAAGACATCCGTTTAAGATTTATTGAAACATACCTTGACTACCTTGACTACTATTGACAAGAGACATTGAAGATATTGATGCATGTTCCGTATCATTATTATTGTTCAAGCCTTCGGCTAAATATTTTTTAAACGTGTGAAGTAACAGGGTGTAAAAAGAAATAACGCGTCTTGGTTAATTAAACAAAACGTTGCATTATTTAAAACGCGAGAGCGATTTTGTTCTGTTTCTATGAATAAGTATTTGTAAAACTTACCTTCAGAATTAATGACCGAAGCAAAGAAAGAATTAAGGTTATCAAAACCATTCAAATCTTTTGAAACCTCTTGCGACGCTGCCACTCCAGTTTTTCTAATTAAAGTAAACAAATATTAATTTTATATATAATAACTTATTACAGGTTTAGAAAACGAAGTCATTCTAATAAAAGTTACCTTCCACGAAGTCCTATTTCCGTAAATTTGTTTGGTCTACCTTTACATTTTTTATCCGTTTCCATTTTTTCCAGGTTTATGAATATAACGTAAAATAAAAAGTTGTTAAATATAATAATGCAATAACTTATAAAGTTATTAAATATAATAATGTAATAACTTATAAAGTTGTTAAATATAATAATGTGATAATGTTTAATAAAGAAATTGAACGCGATAATGTCAAAATTGTAATGAGAAAGAGGTTGTTTATAGTTATTATCACATGATCATTGTCGCGATACAAATTTTTCAAACATTGAAATGGTGGGTAATAAAACGTTAAATTTCAAATTATAATGTAAAATTTAACAAGAGAATTATAAAATTTAGATTCAAATATTTATTTTCTTATTACCAATATCTTTAAAATTAATTATTATTAAAATTAATTATTATTAATTTTTAACCAAATGTGAAAAAGATAAATAAAAATTGATCAAATATCTGGATTAAATGTCCAATATGGCAATTCACTTTTATGGGATTTCTTTAATTTCGCTGTATCAGGTGATTTTGTTAATTAACAGTTTTCTTTTTTTGGATATATTCGGTTACTGAATTATTCATAATAATAAACATAAAAATTTATTGATTTTTCATTCTCTATATTCTTAAATAAATAAATAAAAACTCTATAAATCTCATCCTCCATATATATTTACACAGACTTTGAATTATGTAATATATAAAATTAGCAGCACGTTCACTGCATAAATACTTCCCGACAATATAAAATGCCTAAAATTGGTGGGCCCAAGAATAATCCAAACCAAAAGAAACCATTTCCAAACCATTTCTTATCTTTCATTAATGGTAATTTACTCAAAGCGATTAGGGGTAATTGAAGCATTTGAAAACAGAATAAATACATACGAAACTTTTTTGATACAACTACCATAACTAATTCATGAATTAATGAAGAAAGAAAGAATGTCATAAATGTTGCATCACGTTTGGATAATTTATAGGATTCAATAGAGAAATGGTAAACATGTCTTAAGAGAAAATGATGAACAGGTTTATTCCATTTTCTGGCAAATTCTTCCCACGTCGTACTAAATATCAATAATATCAATAATATAAATAGTTTGAAAATTAAAATATCTTTACATACGCTTATAAAAAAAACTAGATTTATATGCCAAATATAAATTATTTACCTATTCCACCAATCATCATAAAAATTTCTATCCGCAAACCTTTAAAGAATAAAAAGAATAAAAACAATTAAATGATATTTAAAATATTTAAATAAATGATAAATAAAATAAATAAAATAAATAAAATAAAATAAAATAAAAATAATTTACCTTGTCAATTCAGCGAAAAAATTGCAAATACATTCAAATACGATATAAAATAATAATAAATAATTCATCATAAATGGGAATAACATTTGCAACATGCAATCAAAAATTGATGTTGAAACATTTGGTAAGACCGGAATAATATATGTTCCCGTGTTGACATATAATAAAAAGAATGTGCCAAAAATTGCTGCCAGCTTTTCGAGTAAGTACCAAGGACGTATTCTGAACATATTTCGAATATTAGAAAATTAAAAAATTAAAAAATTAGAAAATTAAAAATTAAAGAAAATTAAAGAAAATTAAAGAAAATTAAAGAAATCAAAGAAATTAAGGAAATTAAAGAAATTAAAGAAGAATGAATAAAAACCAAAATTATATATTTTCTACTTACTTATCAGTCCTAGGATACTCCAATTCATACACTAAAGTTGGAACAAGCAAAAAATCGATAAAATTCATAATAGTAATGTTATCAGAATATCTAATATTTCCAGCTGGACTATTAAGATATCCTTCAACTTGATCAATTTTCAATTTTAATTGATTGATTGCTTCTTGTTTCTGACTTATATTCTCTTTTTCATTTTCTTCATTATCTTCATTATCTTCATTATCTTTACTTTCATCGGATTTTTTAGATTCTCCAATTAATGTAAAATAATCTCGTTTCAGAGATTTAAGACGTAATGCCCATTCTGAAAGTTCTCCATTATAGAAGGAGTATGAATGAAGTTTCATTAACATAGAGATAGTGTGTAAAACAAAAAATCCACTTTGTACCCATGGCCAATTTCTATTGTTAATTTGATTTGTAAATTATTATTTGAGAACAAACAAAAAATTTATAATAAAATATTCAATAAATAAATATATACATTCAGACCCCTCTATAGTCACCTCCTATATAGTCACACATCTTTTATAGTTACATAAAACCAACGCCTATTAATGCTATGTAAAAAAGAAAACTCTATAATTTTCACATCTCTATATAGTCACAATTTTTTGTGTGTGACTATAAAGGGTTCTGACTGTATGATATTTTAAAAAATAAATAAATATTGAACATTGTCTACATACTTCAAAAATGTCCAATAAATCGGAACAAATAGAAACAAAATTTGATAAATATGTTGAATTATCATTCCGACATATTTCCATCTTATTAATTCTTTTGAAATTAATTTCTGTAGAAATACCGCAAAAAACATTGATCCTATCATACATGCATCACTTAAAATTAATCCGGAAGCATCTTGAGAAAATAATCTAAAAAATGATAAATTAAATAAAACTCCTGCTGATACAAAATTCTTTGCACCAGTTTGTAAAATATAAAATGCCATTCCAATCCAGAAAAGAGTGAAAAATCCTCTAAATGAATCTTGTTGTATTTCTAAAGTTTCACGATCAAGTTGTGAAGACCTAGGCTGAAAAGTTACAACCCGTTTTGCCATTTTTTTTGATAATATATTTATATCTTCATCGATATTTGATGAAATAGTTGCAGTTATTGTATTAGTGGTGGTTTTAATAATTTCGATATCATCTTTAGGAGAAATTGTTGCTACCTCAACCTAAGTAATATATGTAATATAAAAATTATTAAAAAAATAACATTTGTTTTTTAAACTCCTCTCTCAATATATCAATATACCTGTAAGTTTTGTATCATGTTTGAAATGAGGAGTTAATGTTGATTGAATTCAAGATTAATAACTTAATATTTCTTAGGAGTAAATTAAAAATAGAAAGGGAAATGTTAATAGAATAAAACGAATTGATTTTGTTGTCTATTTATACAAAATTTATTGATGAAAACCTGGTTTTTTTTAAATACCAGTATAAATCAATACATCTACATTCAATACATGCAGATTTGTTTGATTGCGAAATCTAAAAAATCAAAATAAGGAAATTATTATTATAAACGCCTATCAATTTCCTTTTTTAACCATTAGAAATCAAATAAATCCTCCCATATGGCACTGCCAGTCATGGACCAATTAATTAATTAAAAATTGTTGTGTAACACGCGTACATACGAATATAGTTTCCCAAGCATATATTTTTAAGTTTTGATGCAGCTCTTGTTATTAGAAGGAAATAATTTTTATGAACTATTTTTAACTCTAAAGTTTATTTGGACATTTAAACGAAACGGAAAATTATGAATTGAAATTGTGTAATATAGATAATATCAGGACAATGTGAGTTAATGTGACGTCATGTATATTCTTAATAAACACGTGTAATTTAACTTTTCAGGTTTCGCCAGTCTCCTTCTAATATTATTCTTAAGATGTCATTTTCGTATGACCCAAATAAACTTACTTGGAACGAAACACATACTATTAATGAAGAACATCAGTACTGTTACTGTGGTGAAGACAAATACTTGACTGAAGTTTCGGTGCAGTGTTGTGGTATGTATTTTTATTTGACGACGACACGTCGCGTCCTTTTTCCTTCGTCCTTGGCCTTTTCATTTTCTATATATTTTCATATGCGTTTAATATATTCACTTCTCTCTTTATTTTTATTGATGTTGTATAGAATGCTTAAATTGGTTTCATGCCAGATGTATTAAAGCCTCGATAGATAAGACAATTCCGATTTTCACAAATTATCGGTTTCGTTGTAATTTCTGTAATGGACCCGAAGGTGAAAGTTTTAAGGTTGGATTAAATATAAATTTAATGAATTAGTTTCAGTTTCTCTTATATTTAAATCTATTAATTCTTTTTTTTTTAATACAAAATTTTTATATTTAAAAAGAGAAACCAAGCGGGATGGAAAGAAATCGGTGGATGTGCAATTGCAAACCTTATGCTTCAGCAGCATATGACGGATCATCAAGCTTCAAAAGATGACCCAAGATATTTATCTGAAAATGCCAATAAATTAGGTCCATTAAATTATTACTTTAACAAAAATGAACATTTACGACCATTTGTAGACAAAAATTGGTCTTCACTTTGCACAGAACGATCAAGAACTGCAACTTGGTACAGAAATCATAATAATTAAAAAAATCTATAAAATTATGAATATCTAGATAAGCGTTATAATAAAAAAAAATTTTTTTTTTTTTACAGGTGGGCGACACTTGGATCATGTTTATACTCAACTAAAGATCTTTTTGTTGCTAAAGACGAACATAATAGATCAGCTAGTTCAAACTTTTGCCTTGTTGATCCAAATTTATGGAATATAAGACCTGGACATTTCGGGGTATTTCTAATCATTAAAAATTATTTATTATTACTTTTATTACCAACATATTAATAAACCAATAAAAGATTTATTTTATTTTATATACGTGTAGACATCCCATTCTCGAAACCCATCAAAATTACACAAGGAATCGACTCACAGTCACAGTCGTCGTGTAATTAATGATTCCGAAACACATGAAGATATTTCTATGGTTTCACATTCAAAACGACAAGTTACACCGCTTCAATCTTCTGAACAGGGCATGACTCCTCCCACGCATTCTATGCATTCGAATCCCAAAAACACCGTAATTGCTTTAATTGAAGCAAATTCTTCTAATACCGAATTCGGACAATCTGGTGAACAAAATAATCTAAGACATGGTTTTAAATATTTACCATGTCAAGGAGACAAATTGTTTCCATTTATGCAATATCGTAATTCAGAATTACCTCCTTATGGGTTGCGTTTATCCAAAGAAGACGCAAGTTTATCCGTATGGATTAGTGGTGACCAACTTACTACAACTACAGAATATGGATTTTCTATGGCAAGAGCTAATTGTCCAGTGAAGGAGGGGAAATGGTTTTATGAAGTTTTCATAGATCGTGGTGGAGAAGGTAAAATTGATGGCAAAGATGGTGCTCACGTTAGAGTTGGTTGGGCACGTCGAGAAGGTAAATTATAAATTATATATATATATATATATATATATATATTTGTTAAAAAAACGTGTCGTCACAAATATATATGTTTAATCGTTTCACTCTATACGCATATGAACTTTTTAGGAAACAGAAATTCTCCCGTTGGTTCCGATGCCTATAGTTATGGATTTAGGGATCTTACTGGTCATAAAGTACATCAATCACGACTTTCACGATTTGGGGAACCATTCAAAACGGGTGATGTTATAGGTCTCTATATAAGTTTACCACCTTTAAATAAAGTCTATCCAGATTACCAGTTAAAATGTCCAAAAAGGCGAAGAATCCCGATCTTGTTCAAAGGAGATACTATTTTTGAATATAAAGATTATAAACCTACAAGTAAAATGAATGAATTGCTTGAATTACCAAAAAAGAGAAAGGAAAATAAATTTTGGTGGCAACAAAAGCAAGAAGAGGCAAAAACATCAACAACATCATCACCACCAGTAATCCCTATGTTACCCGGTTCCAAAATCATTGTTTATAAAAATGGTGTATGCCAAGGAGTAGCATTCGAAAATTTATATTCATTTTTACCTATTATAGACGAGCGTACTAACGAAGATACTTTAACCGAGGATGACGGATCACTTGGCTATTATCCCACAGTTTCGATGTTTCGAGGTGGCACTTGTACATTAAATTTTGGACCGTATTTTCGGTATCCACCACCTCTTGATCCAGAATTAGAAGTACGTAATGCACAAAAAAAATCATCAAATACATCTATTTCAACATCATCGACGTCAACATCATCAACATCATCATCATTATTATTATTAGCATTGACAGCTACTTCTAATATTTCAACCAAGAAGAAGAATAATAATAATTGTGGTGCACGTAAATGGCGACCAATGTCGGAAAGATATATGGAGCATATTGCCGAGGATGTTTTATATGATATTATCGATGAAATAGAACTTTGGGATTGGATGATGTCACAGAAAAAGAAGTCGCTTCCTATCAAAAGGCCTACAATTGTAGATTTATCGGATGGTGGTATTATGAAAAAAAGGAAATTTAATGATATTGAAGGAATGTCTTATATATGATGATAGGATATCATTTGAAGATAATAATATATATCTCTCTCTTTCAGGGGAAATAATAAGGAATGTAAATAATAATAATAATAATAATATAAAATAAAAATAAAAATAAAAATAATAATAATAATAATAATAAAAATAATAATAATATAAAAATAATAATATAAAAATAATAATATAAAAACTGTGGGTTAATGCTTTATTTGTATATTAAGCTATTTCAACATTTGACATTAAATAATAATTAAATTGTATGGATCCCTTATTACATAGAGGATTTACTTCATTTATTTTTTTTTATAAAAAAAAGCACTTAAACTCTCTGATTTATAATAATTTAAAATCAAATTAACAAATGTTGAAATAATTTAACTGATTAACTTTTAATAAAAAAAAAAAAAAAAAATTTTTTTTTTTTTTACAAGTAAATTAGAAAACAAAAGTAAAATAATGTAAAATTGTAAATTTACATTTGATTAAATAAAAAGTTTAGAAAAATGAATTCTTTTCATTATAAAGTTCAAAACATCATATTGTATAGTTTCGTTTAAAAAAAAAATAATTTATGGATCCATCCTTATTTTTAGGATTTTAAGGATTTCGGATTTGATTGACCAGTAATTAATTATTCAAAAACCAGATTTCGCAATCCCTATAAAGAAAGGAGTTATACAATAAACTAACAGTGTATCGAATGCATAATAGTATTAGATCTAAGACAAAAGTAGAAAATTTGTAAATCGCTCAATTTTTTTACGCGACTTTCATATTACGCGTATACATTTCCTCAAGGGGTTAGATTTCAGGGATCAATAATCATGTGACTTGGAGAACTATTCATAAATAATATTGTTTCACTCTTGAAATTCTCGTAATAAAAATGTCAATATTACCGCCAATAAATTTTCCAAAATGGCTTGAAGAGAATTTAGACAAATTACAACCGCCGGTGAATAATTTTCTATTGCAAAAAGGAGATTTTATTATTATGATTGTGGGAGGACCTAATGCTCGTACAGATTATCACGTTAATCAAACAGAGGTTACTTTTCTTTATTTTTTTCATATTTATTTTATATTACACTCTTTTCATTGAAATTTTAAATAAAAATAAAATTCTTTTAATAATCTAATAGGAATGGTTTTATCAATATAAAGGGGATATGGTTCTTAAGATAGTTGATGGTGAAGAGTTTAAAGATATCTCTATTAAGGAAGGAGATATGTTTTTGTTACCTGGTAAGAAATAAAATGCATATCTTATAATGGTAAAAAAAAATTATGAAATATGTATTGATTACAAAGATTTTAAAGGTAATACACCACATAATCCTGTCCGTTTTGCTAATACAATTGGAATTGTTATTGAACGAAATCGTAGACCTGAGGAAATTGGTATTGATTTTTTTTTTTTTATAATTCGTTTTACGCATTAATTATGTATAAACATAATTAATCAAATCCTTTACTTAGATCGTCTTCGATGGTATTGTGATAATTGTAAAGGAATAGTTTATGAAGAATCATTTCATTGTTTTGATTTGGGAACTCAATTGAAACCAATTATTCAAAAGTATGCCGCAGAGGAAAAATTACGAACGTGCAAATCTTGCGGTCACGTAAATAAAGCGAAATAATATATAATATTTATAATTTATATTAATAATTATCCAATTGTATTTTATTTAATATTATTATCAACTGTATAAATAAATTTATGGTACAATAGATATCTTAATAAAACTTCTTTAAATTTGAATCAACTGAAAACCAAAGAAAAAACATAAGGATAGATATGCTGTGAAAAGTCCTATGGGTAATATAAATTTTTGGAATCTAAATTTTGAACATGTTACACAAATATTAGTAATTGTCTCATTTATTGCGCAATAATAAGATTATTTATTTTATTCAATGCAAAATAAGCCATTAAAATAAAAATTTAAGCGTAGATATTATTTTGGACGATCATTTTTGTTCAAATTCTACGTTAGAAAGATAAAACTCTTCTGTACCACTGAAGAACCTAAAAAATAGAAAGGAAGATTGATTGTGAAAAATAATTTTATTTTAATGCTTCTGCCGAGTTTCATTTAACGTACCTTAAATGTAAAAAAAAATTTTATCTTGCCCATAGTCGTTAGACAAAGCCGCTTAATTTGAGCGTTCGGATTATTTTGGTAATTTGGATGAAGACTAGGTGGTATACTAAATGCGTTTGGTGCCAAGTTACTATTTTTAATTCTCACCTCGAACCTGAAGCCGATCATCAATCTCTAAAGTGAAATATGCAACGCGAATTTTTATCTCTGCGTTTATTTTGCGCCAGACCATGAGTAGCAAATCTTTCCATCACTGCAGGTCAATCTTATTGGTGATATAATAAGAATAGGATCTTGTTTATTCATGTCATTAAGTATTTCTTCATAACTCGTAATTCCATCATTAGACGAATCTGGAAAATTTGTTCGCAAGTATTCTAAATAATATTTAATATGTTAAACACTGTTCCTAAAGAGACAATTACATCAATTATATAACATAAAAATCTTATTTTTAAAAAAATTATGTCAATTATATCAGTATAATATATTACTGATTAAAAAAATTTATTCATAAAAATTGTATCCAGCAATTGTCACACACACACACACACACACACTCTCTCTCTCTAAGAGAAGCAGAGGAGTTTATGGAAATGTAAAAATTAAGAACTATGCCTTATCTGGTAATCAATGATTACGTAAGTAAATCATCCAATAGATTTAATGACGGAATCATTATATAAATATCATCACATCATTTTACCTTAATTTTTATTATAATTTTTCTTTCCTCCTCCATTTTTACCTCTTCCACCTCACCTCTCTCTTCCCTCTCGTACCTTTTTTTTTCTATCATTTCTCAAAACGTCGATTCCGAAATTGCTAATTCCAAAGTCGCAGATATTGAAATCGTCGTCGTGGAAAAAGAAGCTTAACCATCAGATATACATTGACAATTTGATCAATTTTTCGTTTCAAGATATCAATTTCTGCATAATATTCCTCAAGGTAAGTAATTTGGTCAAAAAGTTGCAATCCGAAATCATTATACAACACTACGGTGGTCTTTTTTATTAAGTCCAGAAAGAATATCATTTACGAGTAACTTTGCTTTACGATTGGGAAAACTTATTTTATATCTATTTTTTGGCGTCATTACGTAATAACTAATTAATGGAACCTGGCTAAATGAGGTAAATCTTATGAGTTACACAATATACTTTTTAAAAATTATAAATAGAGGCTTGGTTTATTATTATTATTCAAGTATGCATCAATAATTAAACATAATTTTAGAATTTTTTAATTTGGTTTATGATTTATTCGATTATTTTCGATCGTTTTATTGTTTTATATTCATGTAGAAAATAAGATTGTGAACATATTTATATACAAATAAACTAACAATTATACAACAAAAATTATCGAACGAATCATTATAATTTATATATATATTTCTTCTAAATTTGAGATACAAACTGATCTTTAAGAAATTCATTAATTAAACAACTTACCAGTTGTTAATATAGTAATTATCTTGACAATTCGTAGATATAAACTTTACTTTCATCACTGACATTTGGCAGGTCTTGAAGCGAAGTGACGTGAAATTTGTTTTGCAATTTCTTAAAGAATTGTCTCTCTTCTTTGGTGGAAAGACCTCTTTTTTTATATCCCAAGTAAATTTTGGTTCTCTTAGGTGAACAAATAGTTAAAAAAGTTTGAATTAAAGCATCGAATAATTCTGTATAAGAAACGATAAAAAAAATATACAAAATTTAGAGATGAATAAAAAAAAGTCCTTTTTTTTTTAAAAAAAAAAAAAAAAAAATCGAATGTACATAAATCTTTATTACCCGGCTCGTAGACCACGTCAGATGCTAATACATAATCGATAACACCTAGTTTCTTAGCACCAATCCAGTCGCCCCATCTTAAAGGTTCAATATCCATTAATACTCTATCAGATGATTCAATAAGATATTTATTTAATGAATAATTTGTTTGGATAAGACCTAAAGCATGCTCCAGATCAGTTAATATCATATTGGTTTTAGGTTCATTTCTTTCAAAATTTTCCGATTTTGGCAAACTAGCCACTAAAGCCGCCAAATAGAGTCCAACAAATCCTGTTCCAGTGGATAAATCTAAAACTCTTTTACCATAAAATAATTTTTGATCTTTGAAAATTCTGTTTTTAAATATTTCAACCATAATGAACGCTGAATCCCAAATTTTTCCAGGAATGCCAACATCCCATAATTCTTTAATGAGTAAATACTTTTCATTAGGAAGTATAAAAGCACGATAACTATGAATAAGATAATCATCAATACTCCATGAACATTTCTTTTTATTAGATTCTATGGATTTACATGACCAAGATTCAGATGAATAATCTGAAAAGTCCTGCAAAGTTAAATCTTCAATTGTAGAAGACATGGACTCTGAAGTTAAATCTTCAATTGTAGAAGACATGGACTCTGAAGATTCAGAATAATTTCCGACCTTAACTGATTGATGGTTGGTACAAGAAATGGGATGTGAATGACATGTCATTAGGTGAATTGAGCCAATGACAAGTGGAACAAGACGAAATTCGGAGTCATTCCTATTAACATTATCGATAGGAATGGTTCCATTTGTAAAATTTCCATCAACTTTATTTATAATCTTCGTAGGATAAACGTATAAGAAGATTTGTTGATTATTGGATACAGGTGAAAGTGTGACATTATTATCTAAATCATCATTTAGAGTATCTAAATCATCATTTAGAGAATTTAAATCATCATTTAGAGAATTGGAATCATTTGCAACATGAATGACTCTAAATTCTAATCCACCTTTTCCTCCAGCTTGTACACCAGGCCATTCAGTAAAAGCCAAACCACTCCATTCACATGCTTCCATGCTCATAGGTCTAACTTGAACTTTAAAATTTTCTATTGTATTTTCATTACCACAAATCTTCAATAATTTAATTCCTAGTGCATACCCTTCTACACCACGCATATCTTCTTTTTTAAAAAGATTCATTTCACTGACAAACATGAGATCCATACTATACCACATATTGATATGAATGTTAGGATGTAAAGGTCGTCGAAGATTTAAACGATAATAAAATTTTTTCGCAAATTCACTATAAGCACATACATCATGATCGATCAAATGAAAAGGTGGCGAATTGTTTCGACGAGAAATATCTTTAGTCACTAGATCAATGATCCGACGAAGTCGATCCAAGACACAATTAATGTTAAATTTTAAAGAGTTGCTTCTTGATAAAGTAATTAACGGAGTCATGTTCGGTAAAAGGTGATAAACGGCCTCGTCAGCAACGTAAACGGTGTTATTTCTAATATTTAAGATCGAATATTTAAGTAATTCCAAATCGTTTTTGGCCTGTTCCCATCTATTAAAAGATTCGAATGCCAGACTCCGAAGCCAGAGCGCAAAAAGTCGAAATATCAAAAGGTTCCCTTGATTATTTTGAGAAATGCTTTTTACCACTTCGGTTGTATCAGTAAGAACATGACAAAATTCCCGGAGTTGTTGAAAACAGATTGCTCGCGCCAGGAGCAAATGTTCACGTAAAATACTGGACTCAAAGTTAAATTTTTGCACAGAAACATTATTCAATAATGAACTAAGAAACTCGATGGCAGTAGTGTAGTCCCCGGCAGAATATGCCAGTTTAACTTCCTCAAACCTAATAGCAATAGGTTTACGAAAGTCATTCCAATTGGAAGAATTCTGACATTTAAGAACCGAAGTAGGTGACATTTTTTTTATTGAAAGGTTGAAGGAGAGGCCACCAAGGTGGACTTTGGAAATAAGTATGTTAAATTCCCAAAGAAATAGAGGGAGGACCGAGGTTAGTCCTCTTTAATATAAATTTAATATGTATGTATTATATTATGCTTGATCTGGTGTATATCTAGTGAAATCTAGTCTATAGCTTGATTTTATCAATTAAAAAATTGTCATATGTGATAAATCCTTATAAGCCCTAAAATTTCACGATTATAACCTTATCATTTTTAACAATGTTAACAATGTCATTAAAAAAAAAAAAAATCATCATCATCACAAAATAAAAGGATGTTGTCATTGTATTTGGCTTATAATCCTAACGGGTCATAAACCTTGGTATCGGTAATTTCCAAATCTGTAAAGTCTTATTTATTCACAGTTATCACTATTATTGATTGATAATAATTCGAGAAATTAAAAGAAATCTATTCTTCTAATTCTGTTCTTGCGTTTATATATTTATATTTCGGAAGTATTACTTTGTGAACTTGATTTACTTGTACATACAGGATATCAAGAGTAATTATATCTTTCACTCACACTAACAGTTCGTTACAATTGTGATAATTAAAATTAAAAAGATTATTAAATAGTTGATCAATCTCCAGGTGGTAAACACATGACCTCAAATAATAAACCTATTGATATCGTTCCATGCTTTCACGCGATAAAGCGCGATAGAATCCGCTGCACGCTTTTCGTGGGCTCCTTTTCCTGTTGGACATTATTTTGGCACCATAGTCAACCGAGTCTCTTGCTCAATCCTGTTAGATCGTTTTGTATAAATTCAAATTTATTTAATTTTTCATCGAAAGAACATATATTAGAGGTTGAAGCGCGTCCACCACTAAATTATAGTTTTCGAACTTTTTTTTTTTTTAAAAAAAAAATTTAAATGGTCACCATGAAATGTGGTTACTCAGCGAAATTCTTTTTAAACAGTTTTAGATTAAAAAATTAATACCAATGAAATCCACAAAAGTTGAAGTCTCGAAGGGCTTTATTTATTATTGTTAGAACAGGTTTAATAATTCATCAGGAAAAAATTATTGATAATAAATACCTAGGTTAGATTAATTTAACGGGAGATTCAACTCATGGTTACACACATGTATTGACGATAAAGATATACAAATTTTTTGTAAAAAGTAATATTTTTAAAGCATCTAATTTGAAAGACAGTTCTTCTTTATTAAAGTTGAGCAATTATTTCAAACTTTTAATATATAACAAATTGGGGAAATGTAAATTTCTTGGAAACTATAAATATGGATACTAACACCGAAACGAGAGATTACATTTGCAATAATCACATCTGCCAATCCAAGAATCACATTTATCACATCTCGGTTTGGTCGGAGGTAAGGTCTTGGACACCCGTAGCGAGGTGGGGGAGCTGCGAGTCAACTGGAAAAATTAAACTCTAGGTAGTTTTTGTTTTATATCAATGTACTGTGCATTGCGTCCTTAAGATTGATCATTTAAAATCAAGCGAGATCTTGCTTTGATGTTTAAAAAAAATCACATTTATCACTTTTTCACTTTTATAAACTACAATTGCGTGGTTAAACCATACCGGCTATACAAGAAACACAATGTATTAATTGTACTAATTGCGAAGGCTATGCCTAACATCCCCCTAGTATGCTTAATAATAAAATAAATTATATATATATAAGCCAATCCAAAACTGGATGTGTAATATCCTAAATAGAATTTGCAAGAATTTACTACAGACCTAAAGAAAAAATTCAAGAATGAACTATAAAGTAGACAATTATTTAAATTTGCCACAACATATTATAATATATAGAATTTTTATTTTTATTCTGATTGGTTGATTTGTTAGAATGTAATGAATCATCTGATTTGTAAAGGGATATTATAAAAAATTTTCTTTTAATCAAAAATCTTATTTTACATGATAAAAAAATCAGGGGATAAAATTCTAGGGTTATATGTAATTATCGATCACATGTATAGGTGTGGATTTCTCCGAAGTGCTTTCATACGAAATTATAGAAGGATGCCTCCAAAAAAAGCAGTTAAAGAAGAAAAACTTTTGTTAGGAAGACCAAGTAATAATTTGAAGATTGGAATTGTTGGTCTACCAAACGTGGGGTGAGTTGAGTATATTTTTTTGGAATAGGTGAGAGTAGTAATAATAATAATAATAATAATAATAAGCTGAAACGAAATTTTATTTGAATTCGCAAAGAAATATGAGTATTGTTTCACGATAATTAATGAGTGGTTCCTTTCTCTAGAAAATCTACCTTTTTCAATGCTATTACGAAAAGTGCAGTTGCAGCAGAAAATTATCCATTTTGTACAATTGGTTAGTATTAAATATCTTCAGAACGAATGTTTAATAATTTTAACTAATTAAAAATTAATGAATAGATCCGGAAGAATCTCGAGTTGCAGTACCAGATCCTCGATTCGATTGGTTATGTAATTTATATAAACCTGCTTCAAAAGTGCCCGCATATCTTACAGTTATAGATATTGCTGGATTAGTCAAAGGTGCTTCCTCTGGAGCTGGATTGGGAAATAACTTCTTGAGTCATATTCGCTCTGTAGATGCTATTTATCACGTTGTCCGTATCCTTTTAATGTGATCATTCGAATATAATCATTATATAAAAAAAATTATTATTATTATCTTTTATTATCACAAATCAATACGAAAAATAGGAGCCTTTCCTGAAGAGGATGTAGTTCATGTTGAAGGTGAAATCAATCCAGTTAGAGATCTTGAGATCATTCATAATGAACTTCGTCTTAAAGATGAAGAATTTTTGACTAAAAAAGTCGATGAATTATCAAAAGTGACTTCACGTTCTGGAAAAGGTGGCACCGCAGCTGATAAAGCAAAGAAGGAAGAATTGGTTCGTGTGTAGTTGCGAAAACTGTTAAAACATTTTAATTTGAGTTTGTTTTTCATGCTCTTTTTTGGGGGGATTTTTGTAATATAGGATATTATCCAAAAAGTACTTAATTTCGTACAAAATGACAATAAGGATGTTCGAATGGGTGATTGGAATAATAAAGAAGTAATTATTTATTAAATATTTTTTTTTTTTGATTATTTTCTTTACGAATTATTAAATAATTCAAATAACATAAAATTTATAAAAATTTTTCAATGATAGGTTTTCATCATTAATACATTACATCTACTCACCGCCAAGCCTGTGATTTTTTTAGTCAATTTAAATGAAAAAGATTATATTCGCAAAAAAAATAAATGGTAAATAATATTCTAAAAAATTTGCAATATAATGAATTTAATAATTTATATTTTTTTTAATATTCCTTTATGTTAGGTTAATGAAGATCAAAACTTGGGTTGATGAAAACTGTCCAGGAGATTTGTTAATCCCATTGTGTTCAGCTCTTGAACATCGTGTTTCAATTCTTCCTACAAAAGAAGAAAAAGAAGAGTTATTAAAGAGTTTAGGAACCAACTCCGCGTTGCCAAATATAATTGTTTCGGGATATAAAATACTTCAATTAATTTACTTTTTCACATGTGGTCCGGATGAAGTTAGGGCATGGACTATTAGAGTTAGTAATAAACGCCTTGTTTTCATTGTTTCACTTTTTAATTTATTACTTATTACTTATTATTTTTGATTAATTAATTTAATTAAATTTAATTTAATTTAATTAATTTATCATAATAGAAATCCACTAAAGGACCTCAAGCAGCCGGAGTGTAAGTGAAAAATTATTAAAAATTATTTAATATTCAATAATTAAATATAATATAATTCATTATTATTTTTACTCATTAGCATTCATACAGATCTTGAGAAAGGATTTATTCTTGCTGAGGTCATGAAATATGAAGACTTGAAAGAACTTGAATCGGAAAATGCCGTTAAAGCGGGAGGAAAATATTTACAAAAAGGCAAAGAATATGTGGTAGAAGATGGAGACATTATTTATTTCCGATCAGGACTTGCAAATAAAAAATAATTGCAGTTTCTGTTTGTATAATACAAAACCAAAATGACTTAAATAATTTTAAAATAAGTGTAAAAAAAAAAAACAGAAAAAAAGTGATAAAAGATGTTTATAACCCAAATTTGTAAAGGCATAAATTTAATTTTCTGATGAAAATAATTTAAATTATTAAAATTATATTTATCATATTTATTAATAACTCTCTCACACTTTTTTCACTTGTTTCACTTGTCAAATAAATTCTAATTAATTGTTTATTAAATGTTTGTTTATTTTCAAATTACAATTTACAAATCAAACTTAATTATTATCAAGCTTAATTATTATCAAACTGACTTCTCTGCAATCATACATAATCTTGCAACGAGACCAGAAAGTTGAAGAAATGTTGATACACCATTCAGGATTTTCATATGAGTGCATCCAATTTCCTTTTAAAAAATGAAATATAAATAAAGAAATTCTTTTTTTTTTTGTTTTTTTGTTTTTAATAATTAAATCTTTTAACATACCTTTATAAAATCCATTCTAATATTTTCTGAAATTTCATCATTAATCCTTATGACGCGAAAAAATGTTGTGACAATATCGATTGCACTATAACCTTTTTTCCATAAATCTGACAATCCAGACATTGCATCATCAACCTTAAAATTAGAACAATTTAAAATAATTTCTCTTATTGAACCGGGATGTGGTTGATCACAGACTTTATATACGTTTTCTGCATTAACATATTCAAATCCGGAATACGTAGATTGAAGATTATTAATTGCTTGTCGCATATCTCCATCTGCGGTAAAGATTATTGCTTCAAGTCCTTCCGGATTATATTTAACCTATAAGTAATAAATAAATAATAAGTAATAAATAAATAATAAGTAATAAATAAATAATAAGTAATAAATAAATAATAAGTAATAAATAAATAATAATTCTCAAATTAACCTACGTTTTCAACTTGACATATTTCTATTAATCTTCTTAATATATCTTTTTCTTGTAATCTTCCAAATCTCATAATTAAACACCTACTCTGAATTGGTTCAATGATTTTTTCTGATGTATTACACGCCAAAGCAAATCTAGTCGTTTCAGAATATATCTCCATAATTCGACGAAGAGCTTGTTGTGCACTTTGTGTCATACTATATTAACCGATTTGAATTCGAAAACACTTATTTCTTAAAAAAATAAAAAATTGATAATAAACACTACACTTTAATATAAAACCTGTCTGCTTCGTCCAGAATAACAATCTTTTTTTTTCCTGGTGGTAAATTAACCTTTGTTTTAGCAAATGTTTTAACTGAGTTTCTGACAATATCAATCCCTCTGCAATACAATGAATATTATGGAATATAATTGAATATGATGAAATCAAGTACTTTAATCTACAAATTAATTTGCCTGATAATTTGCATAATATAAAATTTCCTTGTAAAATTTTACCTATCATCTGATGCATTAAGTTCTAATACTGCTTGTTTAATTAAATCTTCCCCTAATATTTCGCGCGCTAAACAGTAAATGCCAGTTGTTTTACCTACTCCGGGTGGTCCCTATAATAAAACGTTAATTTTTTATATTTTTTATAGGAAACAAAATGCGAATATAATACAAAACAAACTAAAACAATTTATATTACGGCTAATAACAAATGATGACTGAATCCTTCTGCTGCACAGCGCTTCAGGCCCTTTATAACCCCTTCATTGCCAATTACATCTTTTAAATAAAGAGGCCGATATTTCTCAACCCTTTTATTTTACAAATTATAAAAAAAAATGTTATAATAATAATAAATAAAGAGGTTGAACAGCCGAGTATGTCAGTCAGAAAAACTTATACCACGGAAGTTCAGAAGGAATAGCTTCTCTTTTGCCTTTAGAAGTCGACGCGTTGTTAATCATTAGAAAACAAACTCTTATTTAGATTGTGTCACATATAGATAAAATTTTGTATCATTTTATGGAGGCAGATCCGGCAGATCTCTACATTATGTAGAATCCAATCGAACTGTCGCCTCAACATTAAAGGTTTATACATATTTACGATTGAGGAAAGTGGCATTTTACCATTTATAGTAGTCTTATATCAATATTCCATTTTACATTTAGCCTTATAAAATATAAGTTTTACATGTTTCTTTATTATAATTATAATATAAATAAAAAAAAAATAACTAACTAAAAAAAACAACTTTCATTTAATATATTTAGTGTTCTATTATTTAGGAAATATTTTGAGCATTGCTTTGAATCGCTTCTTCTGTGGCTCGCTCGCTCCTTAAATGCTTTTCCAAATCCTTAAGTTCAGGTATCATTTGCTCGAGGTTAAACTGTACTGTTTCTACCATTTTTGATTACTATATGATATTAAATTTGACAAGAGGCTTGTAAAATGCTAAAACTAAGGTCAATTGTTAATATTAACTCGTCGTGGCATAAAAATTCCAAATATTAATTATAATTGGTTAAAAAATAAAAGGGAAAATGTGAATTGGTAGGCAAACTTTGTATATCTAATAAATTATAAAAGTGGAATTCTTCAATATATTCAATATTTCAATCAATAATAAAAGAATAAGAAAAGATTATCGAAGCACTTGTTTCGGGTAAAAATGTTCCTGCCTGTAAATGAACAAGAATTCATAAACTTAAACGATACCATACATACATCAAAAGAAGAAAAAGCTATTTTATAAACATTTATTTACACATATCGCGTCACCATCTGATATAGTTAGTGAATCTGCTTTTATCAAATTTATTAAATTACTGGACAAAAAAAAAAGATCAAGGATTCGTGAGGTTATGAAAAATGAAAAACATAAAAGAAATAATTATTAGAATAAATATTTTATAAATAATATTGTTATTAATAATCAATTAAAACTTTATTCTCCCGAAATATAATGATAAATTGTTTAATAATAACTAATAATTTAACAAATATAAAAATTTCTATCATATAAAAAAATGTTTATTAAACTTAAATAAATTCATTTTTCTACATTTTACAAAAAACTGATTGGAAAATTAACTTATTGACCTTAATAAATCATTTTCCTCGTATAGAATTGTTTTTAATTATGCCGTCAGGACTTGATTTTTATTCATATCTTTATAAGGATCTCGAAAAAATGCAGTCTTCCAAGAAAATATTTCTGGCAAGGTTTTTAGAAGAAAAGATAAAACAAGCAAGCGCGTGGTATTATACGTTGGACTATTATATGGATCGACTGATTGATATACTAATTTATGTGAATATCAAATCAGAAATCAGATTATCAAGAAATTATTTCTTAATGATGAGCAAAACACAAAAAATACAAAAAATACGATTTTCTCGACCTTTTTCGACAAGTCAACTTTCGTTTTATGCATTTAAGGACAGAAGTCGACCCAATATAGAAATTCTTTTGAAATCTCGGACAGATACGCCTCATAAAACTAAAAATATTAATCACTCTAATAATTCAATTTTCTCGTCAAATTTCAACAAATCTATTCCTGTAGCAACAGAATTACACAACTATTCCTTAAAATCTCCCACAATTTTAAAACCATCATCATTAGCAAAAATGGAAATTCTCGCAAGATCAAATCGTACACGTTTGAACACTATCAGTACAAATTCTTCTTCAAATAAAGTCACAAGTCATGTTGATAATGTTCCAAAGGGGTTCTTTAAAATTACATTACGTCGTTCGACAATAGGAATGCCTAGAAAACTTCGAGCTGTGGTGAAAGCTTTAGGATTGAAACGTTTATCACAAACTATTTATCATGCTCATACACCAATTATCGCTGGTATGATACTTAAAGTAAAGGAACTTTTAGAAGTATCGAATGTAAAAAAAGTACCAACACCTGAAGAAAGAAAGCATCGTACCGAGCCTGGATATGTAATACTTGAAAGATATCAACCTAATTCACCAGTTTATCATAATTTTAATAGTCCTAATAATCTTAATAGTTATAAACTATAAATAAGTTATTAAAACAAGTTATTAAATAAGTTATAAATAAGATCGTATAATTTATTAATCTGAAACAAGTTTAAATATAAATCTATTACTTTACAGATTTTCAATGTAAATAAAATTTTTAAATAAGTTAATTAAATAAATTATATTGGTAATTCAAAATTAACTCCAATGTTCGCTTGACGTGCAATTTGAACAATTTTTGATAATTGTACAGATTTTGAAGCTGCATCATCGAGATCATCAACCGAAATTATACGTAATCCAGATTCTGCTATTAATCTTTTAGCTTCGTCAACCTCAGTACCTATAATAATTAATAACATTAGTGACATTAATAAAAATATTTACCAAGATTCTGAAAGATTAGATTAGATTAGATTAGATTAGATTAGATTTGATTACCTTGCAATCTTACTATTACAGGCATCGTTAATGATAAATGTGTAGCTGCTTGAATAATACCCTGAGCAATAATATCACAACGCATAATACCTCCAAAAATGTTGACCAAAATAGCAGTAACCTGAGGATCAGAAGAAATGATTTTGAACGCTTCTGTCACCTGTTCTGCAGTAGCACCACCTCCAACATCTAAGAAATTTGCAGGTTCGCCACCATGAAGTTTGATGATATCCATAGTTGACATAGCTAAACCAGCACCGTTCACTATAAAATATATATATATTATTAAACATACATATTTAAATATATAAATATTTAAATTCTTAAACCAAATTTATGCTTTAATAATAATTACCTAAGCATCCAATTTGACCGTTCAAGCCAATATAATTCAAATTATATTTTGATGCTGCGACTTCACGCGAATCTTCTTGACTGGTATCGCGTAATTGAAATATATCTTTCTGTCGGAACTCGGCATTATCGTCAAAATTAAGTTTCGCATCCATGCATAAAACTATTAAGGAAATTAAAGGAAATTAAATTAAATGAATGTGATTTTCTATTAAAATTAAACTTATATTAATTTTTTTCGTGATGATTATTTACCTTCGTGATCAGATGATTCAGCCATTGGATTAATTTCTACTTGAGTACAATCTTTCTCTATAAAAAGTTTGTACAGCTTTTGTATCATATCGGCAGCCTATAAAGTATCACATATTCGTTAATGTAATCTTTATTTACGAGAAAACAAAGGAAAAAAGGAAAAAAGGAAAAAAGGAAAAAAAAGGAAAAAATGAAAAAAAAATGAAAAAAAGATTTAAAATTTAAAAACCAACATCATCAAGAACTTTTTGAGAAAATCCTAATCTTTCAGCCAAATATTTAGCATCATCTTTTGACAACCCAATATCGATATCAATGGGTAAAGTTATGATGGCCTCGGGATTTTCAGCAGCTACAGTTTCGATATCAACACCTCCTTGAGATGAAGCGACAACAACAGGACCTTGAGCTTTTCGATCTTGAAGGATTGCAAAATAAAATTCTCGACGAACAAATTTTCGTTCAACAATAAAGACCTGTTTATTTTAAGTAAACGTAAACAATAAATCAAAACGACATGTGAAAGACGTGTGTATATTATTTACCGAATTACATATTTTTCCAGCTGCACCAGTTTGCTTTGTTACGAGTTTATGACCTAACATCTGTTCAGCAAACATTTTAGCTTCGGCAGGACTTAAAAAATCATTTAATTGATTTGATTTGATAAGTAATTTTTTTTTTTTTTTTTTCACTAAATTTTTTATAGGATTGAAATGTTCTACTTACGAATAAATAGGTCTAACACCACCCTTAAGTCCACTATCAAAAACACCTTTCCCGCGACCACCAGCAAGGACTTGCGCCTTAATAACGGCATCCTCGGTACCTTCGAAATAAATGAATTTTGAACTTAAAAAAAGAAAAATAGGTGATAACTTTATGTATTAACAACAAATACCTAATTTCAATACTACGTCACGAGCTTCTTGAGGAGTTCTAGCAACTCCACCTTTAGGTGTATTTATGCCATACTTATTCAAAAGTTCCATGGACATATATTCATGTATAGAAAGGTTTCGTCGTTGTTGACCATTGGAGAGCTATAAAGTAATAATATTTATTAAGCTGTTATATACGTTTAATAGAAACTTCATTAATGGTTACTATTATCACAATTAATGGTTATTATTACCATAGAAGCTCTCTTGGCAAGTCCTCTAGTAAAAGACCGAAACATTTTGAGTGAAAATTTTCCGAATACATCATCGGATAAAAGATATAGATGTTAGATTAAATAATGATTTAAAAGTTGACCAATAAATCTGTAAATTGAAGTTACATTGTTTATAATATTCAATATATCATATGATACATATGCATATGATATCTTCTAACAATTAAATAATGTGCACTTAATGTTAAATATATTTAATATATTTCGAATTTCTTTATTTACAATATTAATGACAGTTATAAAACCTTTATGAAAGACATCAATAAATTATATTACATATTTATGCTTATTCATGCTCTAAAGAATTTGGAATTCAAAAATTATACCGCTGTCAAATTATACAATTAATAATAATTATCAAGCACCAGGAATTGATCTTAAATTGATCGAATTAAATCATAGAATTTAAGCAAAAGAGAATTTTATTTTCTTAAAATAAATAATTTTAATATGTAGTCATCTTTTTTAATATTGTACAATAGACATTATCCTTGAGACATTACCAATGTTTTATTTATTTTCATCATTTATAGAGGAATTTACTTTGGCGTTATTCCCAGAATTTCCAAATCCTCTAAAGATTTGATCCAATAAATCCTTTTCGAGAAATCTCCAAGCTTTTATGAATCCTAAATCTTGCCAACCATCTTCAACTAATTTTTTGATTTTAGCTTGATTCTGTTCATAACGATGTATTTCAAATAAATCTCGAGCATTATAGCATAATTTCGATGAAAGATAGGGAAACGGTAGGTCTGGTGAACGTAAGTAACGAAGTGTGTGACGATATAGGTGAATCGAATTTGTTCTAGACATTCTTGAACGTCATAGATGTTACAGAATGTTATAGATGTTATATAATGAAGATTGACGTGATTTTTTACAGCAGATTATCGAAAATTTTTTTTGATTTTAATTGGTACAAATTTTTTTTGTACAATATATGCAATATATAAAAGTTTTAACAATAATAAATTTTTTTTTTTTAAAAAAAAAAATTCCCTAATAAACTAAATAACTAAATAATTTATGAGTAATGTTTATGGGAATATCTCGAAGAGTATTACCGTTATGGGACCAATTTTATGTTTCGGTTAGTATGAAACCTTCAATGAAAATATTTAAATTAACTAATTGATTATAACAAAAAATGATTTATTTCCTTTCTAGAATTATGCTTTCGCAGTATTAACGAAAAATCAATCTAGAATTAACAACAAAATAATTAGTTCATCATACATAACACCTATTATTTTCAATAGAATAATTAATTATAATAAAAGTACCAAATCATCAACATCAGCTATCGAATATAAATTAACTCATCCTCGTAAAAAAGTTCATCCATTACCTACATATAATCTTCCCATTCAAACGGTAGAAGAAGCTGTCACCAATATTCTTTATAATACCCCATCACCATCACCTGTTCCTCCTAAAAGACATATTCTAAATTGTCTTGTACAGAATGAGCCTGGAGTATTGAGTAGAGTTAGTGGAATTTTAGCAGCTAGAGGTTTTAATATTGATTCATTGGTAGTGGCTAGCACAGAAGTGAATGATTTAAGTAGAATGACAATTGTTTTACGTGGGCATGATGATGTTATTGAACAGGCTAGAAGACAATTAGAAGATTTGGTAAATATATTTTTATTTTTTTAATTATTCAAGAAAAAATGATGATGATAATAATAATAATAATAATATATATATATATAATAATACGTAATAATATATAATAATATATAATAATATATAAAAAATATATAATTATTTTATTTAGGTACCAGTATGGGCTGTACTTGATTATACTCAAACCAGTATTATTGAACGTGAATTATTATTAATAAAATTATCCATATTGGGACCAGAACATTTACACGAGCAATTGGCTACTATTAAACATGAAGAATACGATGATCAATTTATGCCAGAAGCAGATTTGGAATCAGAAGTAATTATTTTTTAAAATGAATTAATAATGATATTTCGTGTAACAATATTTTATTTATTTATTATTTTTTTTTTTTTATTTTATTTTTATTTTTATTTTTATCTTTATCTTTATTTTATTTTTAGCCACCAGATCCCACATCTGTATTATCAGAAGATTCAACGATAATTAATGAAATTTTACCAATTTTACCATCAACTGCATTACGACATAAACATGCTCATCTTAGAGCATTACTTGACCTTTGTCAATTATTTGGAGCCAAAATGGTAGATGTAGCAACAGATAGTGTTGGTATTGAATTAACTGCTAGACCTTCTAAATTAGATGCATTTATTAAATTGGTAAAACCATATGGAATTTTGGAAGCAGCAAGAAGTGGTAAATAATTATAACTTCTTATATAACTTATTACTTAAACAATAAATTTTTTAATGAATTTCCTTCTCTTAACACAGGAATGATGGCACTTCCGCGTACTCCAATTCTTGATCGTCAAGATAAGAAGTCCTCATCAGAAGAGAAAGAAGAAGTGGACGCAACAATGTTACCACCAGGATGATATTATTTATAAAAGAATTATTTCGTTATTTTATTTTATTTTATTTTACTTTTTTTTTTAAAAAATTAATATCATATCTTTCGTACATTGAGAATACATCGAATGATTTATAGAAATTTTACAAAAATTCATTTTAATGTATAATAATTTAGTAATAATTGGGTTGGTCATGGCGTAGTTAAAGCATATCCCCAAAATTGATCTTTGTTTGTTGATAGACTGTTGGGGTATTTGCACAATAGATAATAATAATAACAATAGATAAAAATAATGACAATTAATAACTATAACTATAGAATTGGTTAGTATTTTCAATGCACATAAAGAACATGGTATGCACGTGGTACATTTTTATTTTATTTCTAAATTTAATATATCTACCACGTGACTAAATTGTAGTTTATTAATTATTTCCTAATCAAGTAATGATATTTCTAATTTCAAGAACTTAAACTTAATGTATTGATCTTCGAAAATATTCGAACTTTAAATTTTTTTTTCGATTCCCGTCACGCATAGTCGTACAAATATCGTACAAATTACAAATATCGTACAAAAATATTATGGCTCAGTTAACCCCAACAATCATTTCCCCAAATTTTGGCATTAAAAATCAAACAACGAAAAACACTTTTTCACATTTGATTTAACACATTTTTTTGAAGGGTCTATATTAGGTGATGCAAGTATATCTAATCTTTTTTTTTTTCATTAACCTTAAAATATATAAATTCGATTTATTTATGGTAATGTCTTTTTTTACTTTTCTTTTATAACCATTAAAAATCATTATAATATTTATTACAATCATTAAAAAATCATATCCTTTCATTTCTATTTTCTAAAAATTTAGAATCATGTTTCTTCCAAAAACGTGTCTTTATGAAAATAGACAAGAATCTGATGATGTAACTGATGTTAACAATCCAAATAGATATAATCTTCATCGTCATATTAAAGATCACTTTCAACCGAAAAATCTTATAAAACCAAATTCTCCTGGGTCGATTGCTTTGCATGCAATTATTGGAGGTTTGAGTATGTATAATTCTCATGATCACGTGAATATTTATCTGTCACGTGAAAAGTGAAGAACTCATTTATTGTATTTTTATCACTTTCTCTCTGTTTTTTTAAAAAAAAAAATGATAATAAAATAAAAAAAATAGGAACTTATATACTGGCACATGGAATTCGCGGTGGTGTAAATTTTTTGTTGAATTTGTTGAATTTATTCCGAAAAAGGTAAACAATTATTTTTAATTTATAAATTCTGATATTTGATAATAATTAATTTATAATTTTCATGATTATATTAGAAAGGAAACATTTAGAAAAGCATTCATCCATGGTTTTTTTGGTACAGATGCAATTCGATTTGGAGTTGCATTTGGTGGATTCTCTTTCTTGTGGAAATTGATCAATAATTCATTAAGATACTATAGAGGAAAAGATGATAGATGGAATGGGTTGATTGCTGGTACTTGTTATATTTGTCTTCAATTTTGTCTTCCATTATAATCTTCTAAAATAATGATATTTCTTTTTTATTATTATAAAAATAGGCTCAGTTGCCGGTATATCTATTATGGCAGAAAAAAGGGAAAGAAGGAACACTATTGCACAACAAATGATCGTTCGGTAAGTATATACACAATTTAAATTTCTAAAAAAAAAATTTATTATGAAATTTATGAATTTTTTATGAATTTTTTATGAATTTTTTATGAATTTTTATTAATTTTTAAAATTTTAGTGCAATTCAAGCATTGTATAAATGCGGTCGCTCACGTGACTATGTGCACATTCCGCACATAGATTCTATAATGTTTATATTGGCTACTGGTCAAGTAATGTACGCGTATACGGTAATAAAAATACTCTTTAAATTATTCATGCAACAAAGTCGAACAATTTGAACAATTTGAATAAGTTGAACAACAAACAGTTGGTGTATATTATTGATGTTAACTAAAGAATATAATTAGATTCAACCAACTACGATACCACCAGATTTTCTAAACTTTATGATCAAAACGGCACGTGTTCCCCAAGAGACATTAGAATTGAATCTAAATATTGTGCAAGGTAATCCCCTAAAGATAGAGGATGCATTAAAAATATTAGATAAATATAAAGGAACAAAACATGCCTATGAGGTTGTATCAAAATTACCACCTTTTCCAACAGTTATTCCTTGGTATGTATATGTACATGTGATGTTCAGTAATTTAAATATTAATAATAAATTTTTATTGTTGGTTTTCATATGTTAATTTTAAAAATAGTGAAATCATACATCCACAATTTGACTCGTGTTTAGTTACAGACATGGAAAGATTTTATCAAGCATTCAAAAGAATTCTACCAGTTTACGCTACACTAAATTTTGTGCCGATGATAGCATTTAAATTTAACCAATTTTTCAAAAAGTATGTATAATGAATTCTTTATGTAAATTCTTTATAATTTTTTTATGATTCTAATTCATTTTATCATATGAAATTAATACGTAAAAGTCCCATCCCGTTATTACGCAAGAGTACACTAAATACTATTCGTTCAAGTACATTTTTGGCAACCTTTGTATCAAGTTATTTAACACAAATATGTGTTCATCGTAATCTTGTGAAATCCTTTGGATTAAAATTAAATACTAAATATATATATTGGATGACAGGATTGATAAGTTCTTTGGCAATACTCATCGAACATAAAAGTCGAAGAAGTGATTTAGCATTATATGTTGTTCCAAAAGCTGCTGAATCATTATATAAGATTATGTATCAGAATAATTGGATATTTGAATTACATAATAAGGCTGAATTATGGTTTTTTTCAGTCGCCATGGGAGTTATAATGGTAAAAATATTACTTTTATATTTTTTTCTTTATAAATATAAATATATAAAATATACAGTATAAATATATATCTCTTATTCTGTTCTTCAATAATAATAATATTAATAATAATAATAATAATAATACTATTATTATTATTATCATTATTATTATTATTATGATTATTATTATTATTATGATTATTTTATTTAGGCATGTTTCCAACATGAACCGGAAGTATTAACCCCCATGACCAACACTATTTTACGAAAATTCTTTGGTCATAACTAAATTCACTTTTCTTTTTTAGATTACATACATACAAACTTATATAAATATATTATGTACAATATATTAAGATTATTATAATGTAATGCGTCACTTGGTGGTTGTTATGTACACAAATGATGCGATGGAATTATATGTAATTCTTTTTTTCCTTTAAGAAATAATCGAAGTAATCTCGGATTTTTCACATATTATGTGACACTCATTCATATGCTAAAGTATTTTGTGTGACAATAAAAACGTAACAAATAAAGTTTATTTTAATTTAAACTAAAACAATCATATGTCAATTAAATTTTTGAAAAAGTTCCCAAAGAACTATTCTCTTTTTATTATTTTGTCAACTCGAAAAATTTTATTATTTGACACCTAAGAGAAAATATTCGACAATGGGAATTCGGGATTAATATAATAAAATTCAATTCCTTCATAATTTATTTATTGTATGCTAATTTAACTAATTTGACAAGTATTAAAAAGTTGATTATTAATGAAGGGCTTTTTTTTCTTGAATTTGTTTAAAAATTATAATTATAATTCAATAATACAGAAATATTATGCAAAAATGGACTTGATAAATAAAAAAAAAAAATCAGCACATGCATTATATAAAGAAAGACAAAGAATTAATACAAACTGCGTCTGTTTGATTAAATAATTAATTGACTCCGAGCATTTGTGCAGATTTTCCTACAGTCGTTTTAACCTTTTCTGCTGTATTATTTACTGATGTCTCCAATGAAGTTTTATAAAATTGTAATAATTCTTGAAAATCAGTGAGAGATGATTGTAATAGAGGAAGTGTGTGTTGCGTAGTAACGTTAACGATATTACGAGCTTTTTCTGTCGGAGTGCCTTCACCATTTTTAATCTCTTTTACAATATCTGCATATCGTTCTTCGAAAAAGTTTACCAGAGGATGCAATCGGAATTGAAGAGCCTCAGGGAAATTCTTTGCATTTTGTTTAATATATGCAGAGATAGAGTCCGTGGTAGCCACTAATGCCTGAGAAAGATCAATTATTCGCGTAGAAACGGTTTTCTGAAGATCTTCTTTGTTATTCAAATCACCGAGAAGCAAGGTGGTAAGATCATGAAGGCGTGATTGAATATTAAAAGAATTTTCTGGATTTTGGACGCTGTCCCTAACATTCACCACCATACCAGTTAAAATTTGATTCAAACTCGCCACGGTATCAGTTGCTTGTTTTAAAAGCACATTTGATTCTTGCAATTGAGCAAAGTTATAAGTTGAAGTAGTATTGTGTAATTTGGTTTTAAACCTCTTGGTAAGACGTTGTCTTCCTACATCAGCAAGATTAAGGGCCCGGAATGTTTGAAATGTATCACTAGATGGAACAGAATTATTAATATCTCTTTCGTTACTATTTGAATCTTCTTCCGGAAGCCATGTGTATACAGCAACTTCTAATTTATCCACAACAATAGTTAAACTTGAATCAACCGCCTTTGCCATATTCAGGCTAGGAACGGCTACGCGTTGATTAAAAATAATTTTTGTTGGTGTAGTAAATTTATTATCAAATGTGTTCCCGAACGTTTCTTGATACTGCCTAACAGTTGTAATAGGCGTTTTTACCTTGCCAAGAACTTCGCTGGTTGGTCTTCGAACAATCGGAAACTTCTCCCCAATGTATGCAACAGACTCGGCGGCAACTTTATCAGCCATGGCAATTTGATCTTGAAATTGCTCTGAGACCGGTTTCGTTACATTCGAAACAGTGTTAACCGCCGATGAAGTTAGGTTAAATGCTGTGATCCCATATTTCGTATTTCCGATATAACTGATGGTATCAGCTAATACAGGGAATTCTAATAATTTATCCACTACTGCCAAACGTTTCCCGTCTTCATTTTTTTCAACGTTTTGTCCAGTGATATTTTGGTTGTGCCCGTTCTGAATCTCTTTTTTTTCAAAAAAAAAAAAAAAAAAAAATTTCAAAAAAAAAAGTTAACGCGTGTAATGAAAGTGTAATGAAGTATAATGACAATGCAATGAAAAATGATTACTTGTCATGGCTGCGCTTCTTTCAGACAGTTTTATAATGAATGTTTAATTAGAATAGAGTTGGATGATAATAATAAGTTTACAAGTTTACAAGTTGATAAGTTAGTTGACCAATTTTTCACAAAAGAATTTAAGAAAGAAAAGGGAAGATGGATGACTTTTATATTTGTTAGAAACAGATAACACAGCTTTATTGTCGTCTCTTAATAAGTTTAAAAAGGCCACAATGGAAAGTACAAGAAATCAATTTTTAAGGGGCGATATGTTTATTTCAAAACTTTCAGATGCCTTTCAATTTTAAAAGTATAAAAAATTTTTTAAAGTACAAATATAAATATAAAAATTAATATTGTGAGTTTTAGCATGTGAATTTTCCAAATTTAGAATATTTAAAAATTACAGCGCCCATATCATATGGGTCCATTCGATATTCGATAAACTCATCACGTAAGTGACATTTAGGAAAAAATCTTATTAAATTGATTTTCATGAGATTAATTAATAATATTAGATAAGAGAAGCTTATATTCTTTATATTTTAAGTATACATATATATATATATATATAATACAGATTTATTTATTTATATGCAATAGACTTTTGAATACGCGAAAAAAAAAACTAGATCATCAAGGATTGGTGCTTTTGTCACTTGATTATCTGATGACTATATAGTTAGTGATATCATGTGAATTTGATTTGATTTTTAGAGAAAAACCACATGACCGAGTGAATCGACAGAAAAACACCTTTATATTTATTTTATATTTTATAATTTATAATATTATGGATGAATAACTTCTCTTTAGTTATATAGAAAATGTAAATCATCAACATAAATTATAAGTAATTCGATTGTTTTATTCATCGTTATTTATAAAGGTGTCTTTGGAACATTTGGAAGCTGTTTTAATAGATTCTGTGATTCCTTTTCTTGTCGCTTTTTTATCAAGCATGATTCACGTAAATAAAAAATATCTCGATGCAAAATATATTGTTTTGGTTCTGGGGGTAATGGTGGAACATGATTTGAAATCAGTGGAGATTTGATTTCCTTTTTTAATTCATCTTTCTTTTCCTTATCGTCACCTTGCTTCTCTTTTTTCTCCTTTGTTGTTAATTCATCCTTATTTTCATCCTTATTTTCATCCTTTTCTTCTTTCTTTTTCATTTCCTTTTCACCCTCCTTTTTGGGTATTATTGTTGAATCATCATGTTTAATAGTTGTTTTAACAGGTTCGGAAACAGGTACCACTGGTGAAGCGAAACTAGAGTCATTCAAATGACTTATTGGGGTAAAAAAAAAAAAAGGAACATTCGGTAGGTTCGATGAAATCAAATTATTCTCCCTATATGTTTTCTTTTTTTAACGTTTTCATTCTTAATACCATTTTAACAAAAAAAGTCCAAACGATATATACCTGGTACAAATATAAAACCAATCTAGGCCATCACCAGTGGTAAGAACTGCAGATGTGAATTTACTACAGACAAAACATGGTCGTTCTGAGGTTGCGGTACGATGCGTATAAAGGTTTCGGAGTTTTGGTGCAGAACCTTTTTTAGTGGAAGTAGACATTTTTAATAAAAATCTTCCCCGATTTGAATAATAAAGTGATACTAGGCATGAATTTCACATGATAACCACATGATTTGCATATGATATATATGATATAAAAATTAATAATTTTCAGATAAAACTTATATGGATTCAAAGGAAGAATTTCGTAAAAAACTTTATGATGAAATTATAATTAAACAGATCTCACGTAATAATAATCCTGAATCCGCTCGTAAATGTATTGAAACTTTATTAAGAGTAGTAAAAAACATAGTTGATGATCCAAAAGAAGAAAAAAAACGTAAACTTAAAGAAGAAACTAATGCATTTAAAAAAAATATACGTAGAAATAAGGGGGGAGTGGAATTTCTTGTGCGAATAGGATTTAAAGCAAAAGTTATATCATTTGAAAAATATTTTATTTATGAACTTCCTCCCGACAATGATCCAACTGCCAGAACAGAAAAAATGGAACGATTAAAAATTGCTCAAGATTTGCTTCAAGATTTTTTGGAAAAAGCTCAAGAAAGAGCAGAGATAATTGAAAGAATGGAAGCTAGAGAAAAGATCGCTAATGAAATACAAAAAAAATCAGTATTAGAAAGCATTGAAGACGACAAGATTAGGCGTGCGGAAGCCAGAAAAAGATCCAAAGAAACAAAAGAAATAAAAGAACTTCAACATAAACCAAAAGAAAATGAACAAAATCAACCGAAAATTGAGGAGGAAGAAACGACAGAATCTTATCGATCTTATAATTCTTCTCATTATCGTCAGCATAATGATTAAAATATATATATATATATAATTTTACAAAATATAAAAAAATATGTGTATATAAAAATATTTATGAGCATGAGATCAAAAACTATTTTTTTTTTTTTTTTAGAAAATTAATGTTGCTTGAAAGTTCTCAAATAACAACAAAAAACATTATAAAATAATAAAATTTCAAAATTTCAAAATTTCAATAAACAAATTCTTAAAATAAATTTGATTTCAGTAAACACTTCAATTAATTAAATAACTTCAGACATAATTCTCATGAATTCTTTCTCATCAACTATAAAAGAAAATAAAAAAATAAAAGGAAAAGTAAATTGAAATTGTAAAAAATTATAAAAATAATAAAGGAAATATGTTTGCGATAATAATAGGATAATAATATAGATAATAATAATGAATAATAATAATAATGATACATACTCTCTCCATCTTCATCCAAATCAAATTCATCGATCATTGCTTGTAGATCATCATCATCCAAATTTTCTCCCAACTCTTTGGCTACTCGTTTTAGGTTACGTAAAGATATTTTTCCAGTGTTATCGTCATCAAACAGTTGAAAAGCTCTATGAATTTCTTCTTCGGGTGAACGATTTACTATACGCTCAGACACTGTGTACAAAGATCGACGCATCAAAATGTTTTTTTTTTTGCCAAAACTGTCATCAATGTTTCTCGAGTTTGTACTACGTGCAATCAACGATATACTCACTAACTTTAAAAAAATCATCAAATACAATCGTTCCATCATCGTTCTTATCGTATTGACGGATAATCTTGAGAACTTCGGATTTATTTTCATCGAACCCTAAAGCGCGCATAGCTACCTTAAAATTTTAACAAAGTTACAAAGTTTTGACTTGACTAACAATGCAAAATTAATTTATCATTTTGTAATAAAAAATCGAAATTCCAAAAACAAAAAAAGAAACCTTTAATTCATGAAAATCCATTGCACCATCTTTATCAGTATCGAATAAGTCAAAAGCCTCCCTTATTTCATCCTTTTGATCTTCAGTAAGTTGAGGAAATAATAAGGGAGTTGATGGAGAAGTATTAATTATAATATTATTATTTGTTGAGTTGATTGCAGGTTGAGTATTAGAACTAGTGCTTTTTTTCTTTTTTGAATTTGCATTTGAACCGGAGTTATTTGCATTGGTACTATTCAAAGTACTTTTGTATTTGAGACTCATGGTATAAAAAGTAGAATTTTCGACTTTAATTTGAAGAAATAGATCGAGATTGAATACCTTCCATTTAGCATTTTAAAGATTTGATACGCAAAATGTACATTTGCTAGCAACCAACATTCCTCATATAGCACAACTTAAAAGAACATAACGCCAATTTTAGTAACTAGTTCTGGTCATCAACCCTGAACTTCTTCATGTGGTAATGATCATCAGTAAAATATAAAATATATAAATAAATTTTATTTTTGAATATTTTATAAAATATAAAAATAATTTTTTTTTTTTTTTTCAAAAAAAAAATAAAATTTACAACATTATAATATTGAAATACAAATTTCAAAAAAATTTCAAAATTTTACTATTTTTAAATTATTCAAATCCAGAAATTTGTTAAATTCCATTTTTTTTTTTTTTAATACTCATCTCTTAATTGCTTTTTAACATCAGTAAGGGGAACATACTGTATGTATACATGATGATGATGATGATAAAATCAAATTCAATGAATAAATTCAATAAATAAATAAATAAATTCAATAAATTGATTGATTAAATAAATAAATAACGTACAATTACACCCATTAAAGATTTCTTGGTAACTTTTCCATTACTATCTTTGTCATATTGATTGATTGTTTGAAATCCATTTCCTCCCACAGGAATAAATAAACTAAAAAAAGAACACACACAAATTTTTTAAAAATAAATAAATAAATAAATATAATAAATATAATTCAAATCTAAATTTAAATAAATAAATTCTTTAATACCGTCCAGGAGTTTTCAGTTGATTAATTAATTCTTGGGGAGTTTTTTCAGCAGCTGCACCAACATGAATGCAATCATAAGGTGCCTCTTCTGGATATCCCTTTCTTCCATCACCAACGATAAATTCTACTCTTTTAGATTCTAAGAATTCCGGTCGATCTTTCTGAACATTTAGTTTAGCCAGATCCACTAGTTGGTGAATATGTTCTATACCAATAACCTTTCCTTCTTTGCCAACCTAGAGTATAGCACTATTAAAGTATAATTAAATGAATGACTAATATAAAAATATTTTTGATTAATGGAAAAAATTCTTTTACCATTTCTGTCATACATGCTGTCAAATAACCTGAACCTGATCCCACGTCCAACACTTACAATATATATATATATATACGTGTAAAAAAAAAAATAATAAACAATAATTAATATAGTTATTCAACATGAAGTACCAAATAAATAAATGTATATTTGGCAAATGTAATTTGGTTTGGATTCTGAATTGAATTAGATTTGTCAAATATCAGTAGCCACCTTTAGGTAACATAGTGACATAGTTATTCAAAAGCTGAATATAAAGGTATATCTCAAAGTATAAAATGCTTGATAAAATAGTTTAATTTAACTTCTACTAATTAACTGACTAAGTTAACTTATTAGTTTAATTTAACTTCTACTAATTAACTAACTAAATTAACTTATTAAATCAATTAAATCAGCTAAATCTACTAAATAAACTTTTATTCATTAAATAAATGTATGAATCAAAAAAAAAAAAAACGAGTATTTACCTTTCATTCCGGGTTTCAAAAAATTCTCCAAATTTTCCAAAGCGTGAGCATGCATATGACTATTCAAAGAAATTTTTATTAATTTAAATTTTATATTTTTATATTTTAAAACTAATAATAATATTCAAGAAATAAAAATATATACGGTGCAGAGATTGTTGCTCCGTATCCTATTGCCTGAGGGGAGTCCGCATATGGTTTAAAAGAGACATAATTTTTTCTGTCAATTCTTTTCATTGCTTTCTCAACCCTCTCTGATTCAATCATTTTCGCTTCCTTCAATTTATCTACTAAACCTTCATTACTATCAGCTGAACATAACCATGCCATTTTAGAGTTAAGATGCAGAGAATTTCGGTTGAAAAGATGCCGCGAAAATTGCATGAAAAATAAATTTGAAGAACACAAAATTTTGAATAATTATTGTTACGTAGTACAATGAATCGGCAATATCACGGCTCACAACGTTATTTGGAAGAAAGAGAATTCCCTTTTCGTCCTTCGCTATTATTATTATTAAATTTTGTTTTTGATTTTTTTTTTTTTTTTAAATATTCTTAATATCTTTTGTATATCATTTATCCACTATGTTATAAAGCAGTAAACATGTTTGACCTTACTTATCTCATCAAACTAATTTATAAAATATATTCAAAGTGAATTTTTTCGTTACAAAAAAAAAAAAAAAAAAAAAACGAATTATTCACTTATTTTGGTTCACACTTTTTAATATCACACACATTTCACTCACTTTCTTTTACATTCTTTTTAAATATATTCCATGAGTGACATTAACATTAACTTCGATATTCCTCCTCCTGTACCTCCGAAAGATGATTTTCGTCCTTTAACACCTCCCAAAGATTTCCCTAGAATAAATTTTTTGGGTTCCGCAAGTGTTGGACCTTCTACATCTCAAGCAATAAATTTTGAGGACTTAACTGGGGAACCTTCCACTATTACCATTACTACTAATATTAAAAACTCGAATACTTTTCCAGGTGCAAAGAGAGCGAGTACATTGTTAACTAACCAACTTACAACAACTTTAAATGAAATTTTTGTTGAACCAGCACTCATTACAAATAAAAATACAAATAAAACTTTACAACAACAACAACAACAACAACAACAACAACAATTTAATCATCAACCTCAAACTCCATTAAATAAACCATTATCAAATTCTCGTTCTGAAAATGTATTCTCAAAATTTTCTTGGTGGTTAAGTTGGGGAAGATTAAAACCTAAAAAGAATCATTCACCTAATAATAAAATTGATGATATTAATAATCATAACAATTCTATAGTTAACAATGACAATAATGTTAATAATAATAATAATAATAATAATAATAATAATAATAATAATAATAATAATAATAATTTAACATTATTAACAGAATCTTCAAGTGATAACGTTCTTCCAATTACCTTAACTTCATCTTCCTCCTCTTCTTCTTCTTCTTCTTCTTCAAATATTGATGTTAAACTTTCGAAACCTGAAAAAGTTAAAAAATCATTAAGCATAACAAATCTATTTCGTAGATTTAGAAGAAAAGATAACAGTAGTTCAACTTTGATAGATGAAGATCAATCCAGAATTACTGATAATAATAATAATAATAATAACAATATTGATAATAACAACAACAATATTGATAATAACAACAGCAACAACAACAACAACAATAATAATAATAATAATAACTTTTCAATAGTTCCAAAGTTAAAATCTAAAAAGAGTAATTTTGGTTCATTAATTCAAAGATTAAATCGAAAGTTCTCTTTTATCAATGAACATAATAATAATAATAATAATAATAATAAAAATAACGACGAAAACAACAATAACAATAATAATGATAATAATAAAAATGCTTCTAGTTCGAAACCTCCAAGAATTGATCGGTCACTTTCTAAAAATAGCAAAAAAGGTTTAAAGAAAGTAGATTTAAAACAGAAACAAAAGGAAGTATTATTAACTGAAGATGATCTTATGACATCTACTAGTACATTATATCAAGAAGGATCTTCAACGGCTCATTCAACATTCACAAAAACTTCTGATTGTCAAGTAAATGTGGATACATTTAGAACAGATATTGATGATATTGGCCCATTAAGAAATTCAATTGCTAAATCAGCAAATTCTTCGGAACGTGCTGATGATGACACTATTAAAGGGATTAATCGTCATAGTCATGTCTTTGAAGTTTTTAGTTCTAAAAGTTCAGGATCAAACTCCACTCGAGAAAGTCAAATAAACATTATTAACCGTTATAATAATAAGATGAATATAAATAACATAAATATAAATAATATAAAAGATTCTTCCTTACAACAAGAACAACAAGAAAAAGAACAACAATTTAAGAATCAAGATATACCTATTATTACTATTAATGGTGTTAATGATATTGATGATATTAATAATAATAATAATAATTCTATTAATACTATTAATAATAATAATAATTCTATTAATAATAATAATAATTCTATGCCTAATTCATCATCACAAATTAAGAATTTTTTACCTCTAAGTACAAATCTCAATATGTCAAATTTTAATGAAATATTAAATGATGATGATAATTTAAAAAATAAGAATATAAATCAACAATCAAATAATATTAAAGAAAATAAGATTGATAAATCACCTTTAAAAATTTTTAAAAAAAAATTTTATCAAAACTTTTTAAATTCTTTAAATTCAAATTCAAATAATAATTCTTCATCTTCAGGTGATCATAACCAAAAATCTATTTCTTCGAATATTCCTCCTCCTATTACTACTATTACTACTCAAAATATTTCCAATATTCAAAATACTGAATTAATAAGAAATAATTATGGTCCAATTCAAATAAAAGATTCAATATTAAATAAAAAAGATATTGAAAATCAAGTTGAAAAGAAGGAATTAGATGAAGATAGTGGTGATAAAGATGATAAAGATGATGATGATGATGATGATGATTATGATGATGATTATGATGAAATTGATGAAATGACACTTGATGATGGTGTTGAAGGGGATGTTTCAACTACTCAATCACAAGCACCGGAATCAAGTGTTTATACAACTTCAGATTTTGATTCTAATTCTAAACCTCCGTTATCACGAATGGCATCATTTACAAAATCTTTTAATTCAGAAGATCCATCCGCTTTTAGTACCACATTTTCGGATTCTCAACCTTCAAATCATAATGAATCAGATTTATCTAAATTGGATTGGCCATTAGAAAATGCTTGGGATGCATTAATAAATCTTCCACAAGATAATGATGATGATGATGATTATGATTATGATGATAATAATAATAATAATAATAATAAATTTAAATATAATAAATGTCCAACTAGATTAAGTAATAATCGATTATCATCTATTCCAAATCATTTCTTTGATGGACTTCATAATATTAAAACATTATATCTTGATCGAAATTCATTAAGGGATATACCAGAAGAATTATTAAAATTAACTAAATTAGAAATATTAGATTTAAGTAATAATTGTATTTCGGAATTTAATTCAAGGATAAAAATTCGAAGAATGAAAAATTTAAGAAGAATTAATTTAGATAATAATGTTATCTCTGATATATCAAATATTTCAAAATTAAAAACACTTAGAGAATTAAGAGTAAATAATAATTTATTAAGTACACTTACTTCCGATATATCAAAATTAATTAAATTAAGATTATTATATTTAGATAATAATCAACTTACCAATTTACCGGATACTATTGGAAGATTAAAATCATTATGTGTATTAAGATTAAATAATAATAATATTGAAATTTTACCAACATCAATATGTTCATTACATCAATTACAAGTATTAGAATTAAGATCTAATTTATTAACTCAATTACCTGAAAATATTAAAGAATTGGAAAATTTGGCCAAATTAGATGTTTCTAATAATAAACTTTTAACTCTACCAAATGATATAGTGAAATGTACAAGATTAACTAATTTAAATGTATCAAATAATTTACTTGAAACAATTCCAACAAAATTTGGTCAACTTTCAAGATTGAATACACTTAATTTAAGAGAGAATAAAATTAATAATTTACCAGCTGATTTAGGAAAATTAACGAATTTAATAGAATTAGATTTATCATTTAATGAATTAATAGTTTTACCTGATGAACTTGGAAAATTAATTAAACTTATGGAAATTAAACTTAATAATAATCCTTCATTACTTGCAATCCCTTCAACATTTATGAAATTAACTCAAATTCGAAAAGTTCATTTACAACATTGTAATCTTAGTCAAATACCATTCGAAATGGGAAATGCATATTCACAACTTAAATATGTAAATTTATCATATAATTTATTTGATACAATGCCAAGTTTAAATGGAATGGATAAAGTAATAATATTTGATATATCAAATAATCGAATTGATGATTTAACTATAGAAATAAAACAATTTGAAATAATAAGAGAATTTTATGTAGTTAATAATAAACTTCAATATATTCCTAAATCAATTGGTAAACTTAAAAGATTAGAAATATTGGATTTATCAGAAAATATGATAATAGAATTACCATTATCAATTGGTGATTGTCAAAGTTTAAGAGAACTTAAATTAAGAGGGAATTCAATTGAAACATTACCAATAACATTAGGAAAATTAAAAGATCTTAATGTATTTTATATTGGTAAATGGCCAATGATCGATTTTAATATAATTCAAGATAATCGAGATAATAATCGTTATGATAATTTAAAAATTAATCCATATGAACATAAAATTCCGGCACATGTGGAACGTACATTATTATGGAGAATGCATGATTCAATATTAAAGAGGTTAAGAGATATTGATAATATTGATAATAATTTTGATTTTAATTCTGAAAAATCAAGAAGTCCATCAAATGAAAGTAATAATTCACAACAAGATATAAATTCTATTAATATTAATAATTGTTTACCGACAGAAACAATAAATTTAAATTCATCAACAACAACAATAAATAATTTAAATAATTTAAATAATTTAAATAATGGTGGTGGTGGAGGAAATAATTATAATAATGTTTACAGCGGCAATAATAATAATGGTTCTAGTAGTAATCAACAAATTACTCCACCAATACCAAGAGACGATATAATATTAAAGATGACAGTAATAAAAGGTGTTTATGATCAAATTATGAAAGATATGAGAAATAATGATTATGATAAAGAATCGAGTGGTGATGACAATATGGAATTTCCTGATAATGGAAAAAAGAAAAAATTTGCTAAATTAAATAAATTCCTAAAAATTGGAGATAAGCAATAATTCATTTTTATTCATTTCTTTCTTTCTTTCTTTCTTTCTTTCTTTTAACATTAGAATTATACTAGAACATTTTATATATATATTTGTATATTTTGTTGTATATAAGGAAATTTAATGGATGAATTATGATGATTATGATGTCATTAATATATAATTATGTTAATTATATTAATTATATTATTAATTATATTAATTATAATATTAATTATATTATATTAAATTATATAATCATAATCTCATAAATTATCTGGCATATTAATTTTATTAATTAATTATATCATATCCTTAGTTATTATATTAATTGTTATATTAATTATATTAATTATTTTTTCTCATCCTAGATTTCCTTCTTTTTTTTTTGTATATTTAGTTTATTTTTTCTTTATTCCTCAATACTATTCCATATAATTGAATTTAAGGGATGAAATTTCGTTCATTCTTGTATTATAGTTTATATTCAAAATTTAATTTATATAAAAAAAAATAGAAATGAACCATTTTATCATCATCATCATTTGTTTTTTATTGTTTTTATTATTACAATAATTTATAATATGTAATTATAAAATTTAATAAAATTTATGTTTGCATCTAATTTTTATTTCAAGTTTCATTTTTGATATTACAATTGATACAATTGAGTAAAATATATAATTAATTAATTTATTTATTAATTTATTATTAATTTATTATTAATTTATTATTAATTTATTAATTTATTTATTTTATTCATTCATTTATTTATTCATTTATTTCTCTTATTTGTTATTCGTCTATATATTCTACACAAGGTGAAATATAACCTAAAGTTCCTTGTTTCGGTGGTGATTTGATTCGTTTTGGGTGAGGTTTAGGAACCGTAATTTTATCATAAATTCCATCATAATTTATTTCAATTTCTTGACCTTTTGCTTCTGAAATTGGATATGATGGTGCTTCGCTATGATATTCTTTATAATATTCTAGTCTTTCTTGCATACTCCAATCTCTTTTAATGATATATGGTTTTAATTTTTTTTCTTCTTCCACAAGAATTTTTTCTCTCATTTTGGACCACCAAGTAATTGGCCGCTCAAATTTAGGATATGTAACAAGTGATGATGTCCACGTTTCGGCTGTTTTCTTTTCTGCTTCCTCTAAATTTTGGATTTTCTCTTCCTTTATACGAATCTGTTCATGTGCTATCTTAGCGAGTGCTTCTTCTTCTTCCATTACTTCTGCTAAAATTTTTTCTTCCTCTGAATCAATTTCATTCCTATTTTGCAACTTTAATGTGAATGACCTTGATTCATGATTAATTTTCGTTTTTTTCTTCTTTACTAGATCGGTTTCTTCATCTGTAGTTGTTAAAAACTCTTCACTATCTAAATCATCTTTATTTTCATTGTTCTCACTGTCCTCATTGTTGTTATCATCTGAATTCAATTCCTTTTCCTTTCTATTCGATTTGTCTTTCAATGTTTTCCTTACTCTTTTATTATTATTATTATTATTTTTATTTTTATTATTTTTATTTATAAGTTCTTTCATAAATTTTTCTTTAGATTCCCTAACCATCATTTTACATTTTTCTTGCCAATCATAATATGCTTCTCGCATTTTTTTATTATGTTTTTTTATTTCCTTATGCCATCTGTTAAATTCCCATTCATTAATCAATTTTTTTCTAAAATTTTCTTTTTCTAAATTAACCTCTTCCGTACGTTCCTTAGGAAATTCCGGAAATGTAGTAATGAACCTCGGAATGAATGATTCTGGAGGATGTTGTGGAATTAAGGAGTTTCTTGATTTTTTTATATTAATAATCGAATCTGGAAATTCTATTTCACGATATATATTAAAATATCTAGTAGGTTTTTTACTCGATAAAACAAGTTCTCCATTTGAATTAGATGAATTAGATGAATTATTTGGTATCAATAATTCAAATTCTTGCATTTTGTCTAAAATTACTTGATGTGATGAATTTTTACTTTGTTTTGATTCATTATTACTCTGTAAATTTCCTAAATTTTCAATGTAAACTCCATAATCCGCCATTGTCTCTACTGTTCTTTTTTGATATGACGTGAAAATTGTTTCATGTAGTTTTTTTTGAAGGTTAGCTACTTTAGTCGAACCTTCTGTGGCTTCAACAGGAATTTTAAAGGACTTTCCTGATAAATCAGCTTTTACAATTCTTGATGGAACTTTTATTATCCAAATTTCTGTTTCGTTATTCTCTACTTCACTAACATTAAATTTTGAAGCTACTTTTGCGTGCTTACCTCTTTCAAACCCTAACGGTGGTTTAAAAGAAGGTAAAGAAGAATTCTCATTTTCTTGAGAATCTTCAGATTCTGTGCCTGAATTAATTTTTTGTTGCATGTCGGAAAAATTTTAAAAAAAAAAAAAATCTTTAATGATGAAACGTGATCTTCTTGCCAAATGTCTAATTTATGCAAAATTTTAATGTAATAAATGTCCTTCTCATTATGATTTCGTTAACAAATAAATGAAATTCGGTTATTTAATATTTAAAATAAAAAAAAAAATTTTTTTATTATGTTATTATGTGATATCATATAATTTTACAATAAATAATGTTAAAATAATAAAATAATGAAATTGATCAAATGGTATCTTAAAAACGAATTAATTAAAATAAATAATGAATAAAAATTGACGCAGCGACAGAAAATTATATTAATTGTCCGATCAAAAGAGCATCAACGGTCGTTCCTTGGGATAACTCTGAAAGATGATCAGTTTTTCCAGGTAACTTTAACAAAGCATTACAACTTCTCATGCTTAGAATACGACTACTTATTTGTCGACCAGTTGAATTTGCAATAAACTTTCCTTTGGTTTTATCAAATGAAATTATTGCTCGATGATATTCAGGTCTTGGGTCAAGGGATACATTATTTGAAAGCTATAAATAAATTATAAATAAATTATAAATAAAAATAATTTTTAATTGATATTTATTTTTAAATCAAATTTATTTATTTTATATTTACCTCCGCAGGTAATATAGGATAATCCCATTTCTCATAACCGGAAAACCTTCGAAGAGTTGGCAATACAAACAAATAAAAAGTGACAATTGCTGAAACTGGATTACCGGGTAATGCAAAAATTAATTTTTCATGCGAATTAGGAGAATTATCTTGAAATGTAGCGAATGTGGTTGGCTTCCTATTAAAAATAAACACACACATAAACACATGAAATACATGAAATGAAAACTTAAATGTGGAACAACTTAATTATAAATAATAAATCAAACCCAGGTTTCATCTTTAATCTTCCAAAATGGATTTTAGCACCCAATGATTGTTCTAATGTTGGTTTAAGAAGGTCAAATTCACCCATCGAAACGCCTCCCGTGGTAACTAATACATCAACTTGGGACAATGCGGATCTCAAAGAATTTTCTAATTCTTTTGCACTTTAATTCAAATAAACAATAAATACATAGTATAAAAGAGTTTTGTATTATTTTTTATTTATAAATCGAACTTACTTGTCCTTAACGATTCCAAAATCTTTGGCTTCAAATCCTGTTGCTTTTGCAGTTGCCAATAATGCAGGTCGATTACTGTCTCGAATTTGACCATATTTTAATTCGGATGAATCATTATGGTTTATTACTTCATTTCCAGTGGATAAAATACCAAGTATAGGACGTTTATATATTTTCACCTAAGAACAAAAATTTAAAAAACAAAAATTTAAAAAACAAAAATTTGAAATAAAATTTTATAAATTTTTTAATATAATTTAAAATTATAACAATAAAATTACTTCTTTTACTCCAACAGATGCCAATATTCCTATTTCGCCTCCTACAGCTGATATAAGTTCACCTTTTCTTGCAACAATCGTGCCAACGCTAGTGTCACTGCCAATTTTTCTAATATTTTCGCCCTCATTTGCCTGAACATGAATTTCAACCTCTTCTTCTTGAAGACCATCGCCTGATGCATGTATAAGAGTTGTATTTTCAATCATTACCACGGACGTGGCACCGTTGGGAATAGCTCCTCCCGTAGTGATACGGGCAATTTGACCTGGACGTATTACACCTTCCAATTGTTTAGAATTACTATCTGCAATTGAGACGCCAACTACCGGATAAACTCCCGGACCATCGCTCGCTAACAAAAAATTATAATAATTAAGATAAAATAAAATTTTTAATCGATTATTTGTAAAAGGATAACCAAATTAAATATAATAAATATACACAAATTTATACCTATAACTGCGTAACCATCAACTATAGAAGCAGGATACCCTGGTACAGGTTCTTTTGCCACCACATCTTCGGCCAAAACCATTCCAATTAAATTTTGATCGACTGGAACGGTAGTGGTCGGCAGAACATTAACATGATTTGCAACGATGCTCAAAGCTTCTTCGACGGAAATCATTGGATAAGGAGATTTGCGTTGTCGCTTTGTGACTAATTTTATTAAATATACGTAATATAAATTATAATATCTTTGATATTTTTTTGCATGATTTTTTTCATATTTATTTCCTTACCAGGATCACTTAAAGGATCTGATAAAAATGAGCGCGTTGTTCCAATTTTATCAAAACGATGTTCATGTTTATCATGAACACATTCATGTTTATCATGAATACATTCATGTCCACTGCCTTGAACATTTGTTTCTTGACGTAATCGTGCATGTACGTCTTCACCTTTTCCACCTCTTACCAAATCGATAGCATGAGGTAATATACTGATCACAGCCTCTACACTTTCTCTTGATCCTTTGGGACTTCCAGGAACTGTTAAAATAATAGTATTGCCTCTGATTCCACTGATAGGCCGACTAAGAGAGGCAAATGGAGTTTTTTGGAGAGATGCAGTTAACATTGCTTGAGTAATTCCCGAGCAAAACTTGTGCAATATTGGTTGTATTGCCTAATCAATCAACAAAATTAATTAAATAATTTAAATTATAAATTAAATTCTATTATTTAAAAAATCCTGAATTTTTCCAAAGATTATAAACTTACTTCAGGAGTTATATCTCTAACACCAAAACCTGTACCCCCAGTAGTTATAATCAAATCAAATTTTTCAATATCACACCATTGTTTAACAGTGTCTTGTATATCATTAAATTCATCTGGAACAATCTTAGTTTTTACCACTTTAAAAGGTATTTTGGTCCGAGAGTTAGCTTCTAGAAATACATTTTTTAAACCTGGACCACTAAGATCTTTTTCGGGATTTTTTGTAGAAGTATCGCTAACTAATTTATTTAAACAACAAAATATATTTGTCAATTTTAAGATGCAAATAATTTTATTTAGAAAGTAATTATTTATAATAAACCCACCAGTTAAAATTCCAACAGAATAGTTTTCATTCACTTTAATTATTTATAATTTTATTTAAGTTTTAAAAATATTATTTAAAGATATATTTTCATTTTCATCCTATATTTAAATACCTGCATACATTTCGAATGGTTTTTTGTCTTTAAAGAATTATCAAAGAGATATGCCATATAAAGATATAATTCTTTTGATCATGTGCAGATTTAATTGATTATCATGATCTCATCAAAATGCCAAATTTAACAAATTAAATTTATAATCTATTTTTAAAAAAAAAAACTCAAATATTTTTTACAAGTTTCTTGCTCAAAATGTACGCGTCTGGTGGTGTTATTTTTTTATAATATCCTTCAACTGTTCCAATAATTTCAAAACCGTATTTTTGATAAAAAGCCAAAGCTTCTTCATTAGAAGTTTGGACGTGAAGAAAAATTTCAATGAATTTTGGAACAGAAGGTGTTCCACATGTTGCATGGTGTAAGATGTGAGTTAATAATGTAGTACCTAATCAATAAAACATATTTAGACTATAATTCATCTAAATTATAATTATTTAAAAATATAATTATATAAATTATTTAAAATTATAATTATATAATTTAAAATATAATTATTATATTATTTAAAAAATATAATATTTAAATATATATAATAATTATAAAATATAATTATTTTAAAATATAATTATTTAAATTGATATAAACCTAAACCAAGATTACGATATGGCGCTAAAACCCCTAATGTCATAATGTAGAGTTTTGTTTGTTCGGGTATAGTTCCTTGGATTGGTTCTTTTCGACAACAAACTGCCCCGACGCATGCATCATTGAAATAAGCTATTATAATAGAAATTATTGAGTAGTTTGAAATTAGAGAAAACGTCAAGTTTTCTCCTAAATATGACTTAAAGTAAATTATCCTACCAAGTTTAGCAAATTCACCAACTTCCAATACGTCTTTGTAAAATTTTTCACTATAATTTACGGGGAAAAGGACCGAATTGAGACGTTTAAGTTGACCTAAATTATTTGGTGTTACGTCTCCAAGAGATATGCGATGCGTAGTAGTTAGTCTTTTCTTTTTCGTTATTGTACTATTTGTATTGCCTATATCTTCGACCGCCTTAGTTTCTATTGTAGTTTCTTTAGTTGGAACTCCCATGGCAGATAAGTTAAGTAGGTAAATCAATTTAAACTATTTATATGTTGCAGAAATTACGTGTCAAAGTCACGTGCATTAACTTTTCGAAAATAAAATTTCATCACTTTTTTTTTTTTTTTGTCGTTCCGAAAAAAAAAAAAATGAATTCACTAAATACTGTTCCTGAAGAACTTTACTCTCTAGTATACCATTTCCTGAAAGATACTGGCCATAATAAATCGGCTGAAACATTTAAAAAAGAGTCAAAAAAGGTTCGTATAGCAATTTGTTAGTTATTCATATAAAAAGAGAAATTTCACTTTTAAACTAATTATATGAAATCAAAACCTTATTTTATTAATAGCCATTTCACGAAAATGTCAAAATGGAACATGATCTCGTTAAAATTATCACGGACATTAAAAACAAAGAATTAGAGTTAGTTTTTAAGATACTTTTTTTTTTTTTAATTTCAATATACACACTATACTTGGTCAATCAATTAATAAAATATTTTCTATAGAAAAGATAAAACAAAACAAGCACGTACAGACAAGTAAGAAGTTTCCGGATCGATCATATAAATTACATTTAATTTAAATTATTGACTATAGCTTATATAAACAGTCAAGATACCGAAAACAATGATTCAGATTCGTCCAGTGAATCGAGTGAATCGATTAATTCATCAAATAATTCGACCAAATCATCAAGTGAATCATCAAGCGAATCATCAAGCGAGGATGAATCATCCGAGAGTGATCACGATTCATTGAATGACACTGAATCATCCGGAAAATCTATCATACAGAAAAGTCGAAATTCTACTAGCAGCTCTGATACCTCTTCTTCTTCGGATTCTACTGGCAGTTCTGATGACTCTTCAGATTCCACTAGCAGTTCTGATGACTCTTCCTCAGATGAGAGCGATGAAGAAAAGGAAGATGAAAAAGTAAATCATCGAATAGATTCCGAACAATCTTCCGACGAAGATGATAATAGTGATATTATTAAAATAGTCAAATCAAATGATAGTAAAAAGGATAATTCATCTGAAGAAGAATCTTCTGATTCTGGGAACGAATCAAGTTCTTCTGAAAATAAAGAACAAAGTAATAATTTTAATAATTCGACTAATAAAGAAAACCCGTCTAATATTATTAATAGTGATTTTGAAGATTCAGAAAGCTTTTCAACGATTGTTTCGCAATCTGATACGGAAAAGTACACGTGTGGTCAAAATGAATTCAAATCTGAAATAGAAAATGACAATTCTAGAACAGAAATTCTAGATAATAAATGTAATATTGATTTTATAGAAACCCCCAATACAATAAGGTCTTTAGACTTCAATAGTGAGGATCGTTGTAGTAATAAGGCATTTTCGGAGAATAATGGAAATAACAAAAGACATAAAATGAGTTCAGATAATTATTCAGATCAAGAATACTCAACACCTTGCAAGAGACCAAACACCAATACGAGGTATTAACATTAATTCAAATACCTATCAGTGCTTGCATAATAATCATTTACATTGATTCTTATGTCATATTAGTGAAACCCCTTCAACTATTGGTAAATCTCCATCGTGGGAGCATTTTATTCCAAATTCTGTTCTGAAAAATAATAAAAATAATAAAAAATTTATTCAAGTAAGTTTAATTATAGAGAGAGTCGCTTTATTAAAAAATATATGTAACTTAACAGAAATATTATTGACAAACAGAAAGGAAATGGAAGTTATCGGCCTCGGGTCGATCCAAATAGGATTGAGTTCCTTGACGAAAGATTGAAAGACAACAGTTTTATGGCAAAGGTATTTATTTTCAATAAAATTCATAAAATTAGAAAGGCTATTGTAATTATAATACGTTATTGATTATAATAGTTTTTTAGGAAGGTGCAATAGGTTCATATGGCGAAAAGGCACATAATGACTTTATGGAGGTTAGAGGAAAAAATTTTCGAGCTCAAAAAACAAAAAAGAAAAGAGGTTCTTATCGTGGTGGCAAGATAGATATGGAATCACATTCTATAAAATTTCAAGATTAGACAGGCGATATTTATCTGGTATTATATTATAATTTTTCATTTACTCATTTATTTAATTTTTTTACAAGTTCGTAGTACTTTCTTTATAATAATTGCGTTTTCATTTATTCTAAAAATATTTATATTATTATTTTAAGGCGATTCGATTAAAAAATAGTTGATTGATAAGAAATGCCAAAAAAAAAAATCTATTATACATGTGTTTACGTTTTTTGTAATGAATAAAATAGTTTTTTAACTTTAAAAGTTATATGAGAATTATATAAAAATTGATGATCATCTGTTGTATATTTAACATTTATCCCTTCCAAAAAAGGAATGAATTAAGCTTTCGTTTTTGACCATCATATTGCTGAGAATCAAATTCGAGACGAATTTATTCATTCCTTAAATCAAACATCAAAATTATTATGATAAAAGGCATCAAAAAGAAAAAAAAATACATCGCCTCGTTATGGATAATACTGAGGGTAAAAGTAATAAACACCGTTACGTTCATGCGCATTTGTTGGCGGTGGTTGAGTTACAATTGTTGGCGGTGGTTGAGTTACAAAAGTTGGCTTGGTCGCATTTTCATTACCGTAAACATAATATACATTAGGATCATAATAATAAACCATGCCATTACTTTCAGCAGCAAATGAGTTAGTAGATGGCGGCGTTTCTATTGGCAAATTATTTTCTGCCGGGTAATTTCTTAATGGAAACACTGGTGGTGCTCTATTTGAAGTATAATATCTAATTTGAGGTTCTGGTGTTTGTAGAGAGGATTGGTTACCATCATTGATCTTTTCGCCCTCAATGACATTTTCTTTTACAAGAGACGTCATAGATCTTGGTTTGAAGGGTGGTGCATAGACCGCTATATATAAAAATTTTATTTATAATAATCTTTAATTTCGTATATCTAAATTGAATTATCTTGAAAATAAACTTTAAAATTATTTGAATTTCGTTCATTAATCTCATTAAAACAAAAACTTTGTTGGAACAAACCTGATAACGGAATTTCGCTTGTTTTGATATCTTTTGCTTCCTTATTGACTTCTAATGTTTGGTTATTTTGAGTTGCAGATGCGGCAACTCTTCTTGTTGAATATCGTTTAGAATGCGTAATTTGATGTGAATGCTCCTGTTCTTGTTCTGATAATGTCGAATTCGATGATTCTTTCCCCAAGGGTGATTTATCAGATTCTGAATGATTTCCGAATTTTATACTTATCTTTTCATTCGCAGATATATCGGTTTCTTGTTTTTCGTTTGCATTACTACTTGGGGAATCTAAAATTATCTCGACTTCAGACTCTTCATCGGACCCTTCAGTTACTCCCTCATTTTCATTTATTGAAAGTCCCAATTCTACCCAATATTCTGAAGCAATATTCAACCTACCATCATTTATATATCCCTCACTTGTTGTTAATGTTTCGTCTTTTTTATCGTGATCTATGTTATGCTCTTTGGAAATATCACCTTGTAATTCACTCTGTTTCAATTCATATTTAACGATACCGGTTTCTTGAGTTTCATTCGGTAGGGAACTATAATCAATACTATCATCTTGAGTTTCATTCTGTTTCAGTTCATCTTCGACAATACATGATTTTTGAGTTTCATTCTGTTCAATTCCAACTTCAATATCTGATCCTTGTATTTCATTCTTTTTTGATTCATCTTTTACAGTGTCACGTTCTTGAGTTTCATTCTGTTTCGATTGATCATTCATCTCACCATCGATGTCGAATTTTTCAGGATTCCTAGTGACACTTAAAATTTCATTAATTTTACTATCACATAAAGATTGACTTGAATTTGATTGACTTGAATTGGGTTGATTTGAATTGGGTTGACTTTGAATTGGATCAGGTTGACTTTGATTGTCATAAGTAATATGAGTACGAACCGCCTGTGAACGCAAGGGATTTCGAATATATCCTCTGCCACGAAAACTACTTGTATTACTTTTTGATTTTTGATCATTATGTCGTGACGTGACTTTTGCGTTATTTTCTTCTACTTCATCCTGTAAATTTTCCAATTTGTTCTCATGAGTTGAATGATTAATATTATGATGAAGGTTTCCTCCCTCTTTACTATTTTTAATTTTTGAAGATTCTTTCGATTCAAACCCATATGGATGCTCTTTATAAGATTCTCTGTTTGAAGGTGAAAATTTTATTGATCTATTTTGATTAACCTTTGGCGGTGATAAAAAATTACGTGCAGGTGGCCGTCGACGATCGGACTATAAGAAAAAAAGGAAAGGTTGATATTTTGCTATCATATTATTACTTACATTACTAATATTATTTATATCAATTAATTAAATTACCGGTAACCACCCGAAGTCTCGACGTTGTTGTGCCCTTCGCTGAAATTCTTTGCGGCGTATTTCTTCTTCCTCAATCCGCATTAGTTCTTCGAAACCATTATGATCCCAGCGCCCCCTTGGTGGGGAATTTCCCCATACAGCTCTACCTCTGCAAAAGGAAACATAATAATAAATTCAAATTTTAAATATTTAGTTAATCAATGATTTATAAAAATAGTTACTTTGGACCAAAAGGTAAATTTCGTGGACGTGGATCAAAATCGTTTTTCAACTCTTCTTTTATGAATCGATCGTCATGTCCCCAAAATTCTCCAAGATGAGGTACGAAGGCTGGATCTTCAGCCAGCTTCTTACGATATTCTTGCCTTGCCAATAATTTCTTTTGCCAACCCGTTAGGACTTTGGGGGGTTCTTTGGATGAATCTGAATTATTGGCTTGTTTATCTCCCTCATTTGAGGAGATACTTTTAACTAATTCGTCCGAAGAACTATCGGAACGCTTAACTTCTTTAGTAACGGGACCGGAATTGTTCGAGTATTTTTTATTTTTGGATTTAATTGTTAATTCATTAGTCTCTTTCAGGAGACTTTCCTCACTTGACGTCGTGTCAGTCAAAGAGCTTGATTCTTCGAACACGGATCTTGCATCCTCAGTAATTAAGGGAGCTATTCTTTCTTTATTAGGACTTGAGTTTTCAGTTACAAAACTCGGTCTTTCCTTTAAAGTCTCTTCACCGTCGGTATGAGAGTTTTCACTCTCATTATCCGAGTCTTCACAGCTTGCCTCGGATCCGGATAAATCACTAAGTACTAGTTCCTCACGAGTTATGTCGAATTCATCTTCGTCTTCGCTATGAATATCAATGTCACGTCTTCTCCCGAGAGGTACTTTGTTCATTATTACAATATCAAATTAGCAAATTTCTCGGAATGAAAATTCTCCAATTCTCTTATACTTTGAATTATGATTGGCTGTAAAACAACATAAAATTGTGGCATTCGTCATGTGAAATTAAGGTAGCCTTTATCCTATCCAGGTACCGTAAAGTTCCGCATACACCCGAGTTGTGTATCCTGGAAAATCGAATTCTATTTTAAAAACATGTCGGGAACTTTACAGTAGCCTCTTATCTTATATCCTTCCGAATTTGATTGGTCCATAATTTAACATGTGATTAGAATATTCCATGTGTTTAATTTATGTAACAGATTTTAAATAGAGAAAACTTAAACTAGACCCCAGGGTTTAGGTCATTTATTCTAGACCCCCGGAGTTTAGGTCATTTTGTCTAGA